CTTAACAGCCCATTTATGGACAATTTTGTGTATTCAGTGTCCTTCTACATTCCGACCACATAAAAATTATTTTTCCTACAGTCACCCGACAAAGTTGGCTTCCTTGTGCTGTTTATAGTACAGAAAGCTGCTAATTGCTGCATATTTATTCTTTGCCGTACGGTATATACTTTGTCGTACGGCTTATACTTTGCCGCACATCAGGATTCCAACAAAACAACACAAAACAGCGTGGTTCTATTATGCACGTAATCCGTGTACGCTTGGAAATAGGTTGGCAACACTTAAAGATAACAATACTATGAGCAGCTGATTGACTATTATAACTACGATTTAACCTGTCATTTTGTGTTTATAGTTTCGGTATTTCTGAACTTTCTGGATAACTTTTCTTTTAAACGTTTTTAAAACATTCCTACGGTCTTAATAAACAAGAAAATACCTTTAAAGCATGTTTTTAGGCGCGGAAACCACTTCAAATTACAAAAACCTACGGAACTATATTCTCAAAACATGGAGCACATTTCTTGCCGAGGAAAAATAGCGGAGTGATATGGACCGGTTACTACTTTCTCTAGGGCATTTATTTGTGTTGCCAGCTGAACCTAAAAACGTCTTGTATAGTGTTTGAAAGACTAATTATTTATATGCTTTATAGTGACTGTAGGAAACATATAATGTGTAACACGAGTGCAAAAGGCCTTTGCTGCACTCGAGATCATTCCATAACATTGCGTAAACATTGCTCTCGTGTGCAGCAAAGTGCCACTTTGCCCACTAGTTACACAAATAACTATTGTAAAATGGTCATGGTAGTGGTACTTTGATGAGACAAACATAGCCTAATCAACGACCTTTGCTTACACTTGCTACGAAAGATCCCCAAGCAGAGTTAAAAGAGGGGTTTTTAAGCATTTCAAAGTGCTTTTTAAAAAGGCAAAAACAAGCAAACTATAACATTTATACAATATTCTCCATAAGAATAACATGGGAATCTTTTACAATGTACAAGTAAATCGGTTCCGGGCCTAGGTCTTGCTGTGCCACCCACGGTAATAGCTACTTCCCTTTAAGAAAATTCGCTAAAAACAGCACAAAACTGCATTGTCAGCTAATTATAACTTGTGTAGTAGAGATTAAACAACACTTTAATGACATACACTAAACCCAAGCACTAAACCAACACATCAGTCATGACCTAACCTTCCACCGGCGCTGCACGTGTCCGATGTCTTTTTTAAATTACGGTTTTTTTGTATTTGTGTTTTGGCAAGTTAATGTTTAATGTTTCGTGTACGTGTAAGTGTTATTTGTGAACTTTAAACCTCATGACGACCATTCCATGGAATAAATCAATGTAACATTTGACCTGATGTGTTTGACCTGAACACGAAACAGCTGTAGTCAACTAACTACAATTTGGATCAGTTGACGGATACAGGTAATTTAAACCTTTTACCTAACCCGCCATGTTAAACTTCCCTATCCCAAGCATGATGTATACAACTTCCTTACTTCTCGAGTGATGTAAAGTTGAAAAAAACTCACTCGGTGATGTAATGAAACCCATTTAAATAACATTGAGTGGATAGCTTAAAAAATATACCTCTATGGAGCCAACGACGTTCAACGCTAGAAATCAGCTGTGTGTTTGAATTTTATTGTTATGCTTTGAAGAATTTTCATAACCTAGCTTTTGTTTGTAAATGAACGTTACTGTTAGAAGATGAGTGAAATTGATAATGAAGTATATTGCTCGTAACCTCCTGAATATTGTCGGGTCAGGTAAAATCTTGTACGTTACACGTAATGCAAGAGCGTGTTTACATCACTTCGGTGAATTATGCAACTCGCCTTCGCTCGTTGCACAACATTCACCTGCGTGATGTAAAAACGCTCTTACTACACTTGTAATGTAAATAGCTATTACTTGCCTCTCTCTAACACATCAGAAAGACACATGTGGCATTGTAGACGGCAGGGCGAGTCCAACACACGTCAAAATGTTTTGACAAAATGTTTTTTGAGGCAAACTCTGAAAAGTCAATGGTAACTTGTTGAAAAATGTTACACCTAAATTAACATGATAATTCATTGATTTACTTAACCTAAACCTTGGTTGATCTAATTTATGCCTAAATCTGGTCACATGATCATGTATTTCTTCTCTGACAAAAAACATATTTAAATTAATTTTGACAAACATCAATCCTCCAAAATATACAGGTTAACAATAGTCAGGATCCCCGATGAGACAAAAAGTGGCCTAGAGTGGGCTAACCTTTCTGAGTCCGTCAAAACTCTAACAGCTTTTTTTTGTTTGATTAAGATTTTTTCAATTCCAACTCCGTTACCCCAGATTATCAAACCATACCTGATAACACTTCCAAACAAAGCAAAATATGCCATTTTCAAGTATTTACTGGAAACATGTCTTTTTAGATTTATTAACAAATGTACAACTCTGGACAATTTATTATTTACAAAATTAATATGGTCAGACCATGACAGCTTACAGTCTAATTTTGTTGAGGTTAATGGAAGGAGATCAAAAACAGCAAGGTCAAAGGTCGGGGTACCGCAGGGTTCGGTTATGGGCCCCATTTTGTTTTTAATTTTAATTAATGACATTAGTTTTAATTTAGCTTGTAAGTCAACAATTTACGCTGATGACACCTCTTTACTTGTTAGCCATAGAGATTTAGATTGTATGGAAAATGTTGCCGATTCTGTTTTTAAAGATGCTGAAGAATGGTTTACAGTAAATGGATTGTTTTTAAATTCTCAAAAACACAGAGACTATTGGTGACCTTGAAAAAGAATCATGAAAACCATCAATTTGTTCATGATTATGAAAATGTTGTAACATTACTTGGTATAAAATTAGACTGTAAGCTGTCATGGTCTGACCATATTAATTTTGTAAATAATAAATTGTCCAGAGTTGTACATTTGTTAATAAATCTAAAAAGACATGTTTCCAGTAAATACTTGAAAATGGCATATTTTGCTTTCTTTGAAAGTGTTATCAGGTATGAAGAGTTGGAATTGAAATAATCTTAATCAAACAAAAAAAAGCTGTTAGAGTTTTGACGGACTCAGAAAGGTTAGCCCACTCTAGGCCACTTTTTGTCTCATCGGGGATCCTGACTACTGTTAACCTGTATATTTTGGAGGTATTGATGTTTGTGAAAATTAATTTAAATATGTTTTCTGTCAGAGAAGAAATACATGATCATGTGACCAGATTTAGGCATAAATTAGATCAACCAAGGTTTAGGTTAAGTAAATCAATGAATTATCATGTTAATTTAGGTGTAACATTTTTCAACAAGTTACTATTGACTTTTCAGAGTTTGCCTCAAAAAAATTTCATAATAGATTGTATAATTGGTTACAACTGAACCCATCTTATACTCTTGATGAATTTTTAAATATTAAAATAGAGTCTTCAAGCCTAGCCTAATTTTAGATTTTACATGATTTTTCTGTGATGTTAGCTCAATTTAATGTTGCTTGTTTATCAATGTGAATCATATATGACGATTCCTATTGCAAAATTTTGTAATTTTGTCAAATGTCTAATAAATGTCTTATTTGTCTTAAAAAAAGGCCAATGTTAAATTTTTAACTTTCAAATGAGTTGTGTAGCAAAATACAAATTTTCCTGAGGTAGTGGCTGTCACCAATCACGTTTTAGGGCTGTGTAAGTCCCTATTTTTAAAATTTAGTCAAAATTCTTCCGCAGGATTTTGAGATATATATTACAGACAGACAGACAAACAGACATAGCTCGTATTAGAGTATAGGATTAAAGGCTGCGGAACAGATTTGTTTACTTTGAGTTAGGTGAAAATTTTTTAATCTTATATTTGGGTCTCAGGCCAAAATCATGTTAGTTCAAAATTGGTTTGCTTTGGAAAGTGTTGATTTTTGAGGCCGGTATCCACAGTGCGAGGCTGCTCGCTGCGAATGCGTCGTGCCATCTGCCTCAGGGTGAGCTCTTTAGCTGGCAGCTAGTTTGTAACCACGAATGCTCACTGCGAGCACGCAAACCACCCACTTCGCTTTCCATAACACTTCACTAAATTTCTGATCATGTCATGACTATCCATGATGAAGCACAGCTTGGATAACGTTGATAACGATGATAACGTTTCTTTACTAAAAGTAGATATATAGGATTTTGCCGTGATTGTGGGAGACAGCCGCAGGAGATGTCCTAAATTTGGTCGCAATCACGGAGGACAATGATAATATTTATGTGACCTACGAAGATATTCAGGATTTTGCCGCTATCATTGAAGGAAGACAATGATGACGCCTTGGTGCCTCGGGAATGCAAGCTTAGTTGGAAATACCTATGATAATGTTAATAAAGATTATTAGAAGAGGTGGGCCTGGAGAACAAACTTGCGGGGGGGCCGCAGGTTCTTATCGCCGCCGCTGGCTTTGAGTAATAAACTTACAAGCTAAGTTTTAGCTCCTCCTAAACCAGCTTACAAGCTCAAATTAGGCTTGTTTTAAGCTTTGAAGTTCATACCTATTTAAGGTTTCCAAACCTATCCCAAGCTTGGGAGTACAGACTTAAAACTGACTTGCAATACCAAGTTTTTAAACAGTCTTACTTCATCAGTGGTATCCATCTTGAATTTCGCCCCATACAAGACCAATAATAATTGAGCGACAGATTTGTACATGACCAAGTAAGTTGTAATAGAAAGTTATAAAGTGGGAAAGTTCAAATAGCTTAAAAAAATGATAACAAAAAGTGAGTTACCTTAGGCAGCTGGGATGATGAACAGTGCTGCTTCAGCTGGGTAAAATACTTACTTGAAAATCATATTGTTCGACCATTTTTTACCACATACGCCTAAAACAAACCTCCATTTAATGTACTCATCAGCTGATCAAAGATTTATATTTTTGAATATTTTTTATATTTTTTCCTACAGACCAAAATTGACATAAACTCAACCAAACACATTTAAAGTTATTTATTAAAAACTATAAAATTATAAATTTGTTCAGTCATATCACAATTAAGCTAAACAGTCTGTTCCATGCAGCGAGCATGGTAAACTATCGCTATCTGGAAATAACATTGAGTGGAACTTCACTGATAGTGTCAAGCATTTCACAGTCAATGTCTGGTGCGCGAGGTTGTGCCCCATTCACCATGTGTGTCACGGCGTGATTGATCCGGCCCGAGAGCCACTGTAGCCACAGAAGGGCTGCCAACATCGTAGCAGTGGTGAGGACAAAAGTCCACACGGTGCCGTACCTCGTGTAGACATAGGACACGAACACTGGCCCTAGAACTCGGGATAGACAACCCGATCCGGTCATCAGACCCATCCACACTCCCTGCAACATAATGTGTATTGAGTTTTGTCTTAAATTGGAAGTTACATTAAACGGGACACATCAGTGGCATAACTAGAACATGGCTTGGGGGGGGGGAGGGGATGGATGAGCCCAAAGTCTGCACTCATGCAAAGGTCTGGGGGTATGGAATACCCTCCAGTAATCCGAAGAAATTTTGAAAAAATTAGAACTCCAATTTTACGTTTTCAGGCATTCCTGAGGTGTAATCACGTTCAGAAGAACTAAATAAATCCACGCAATTGAGGCTTTCTCTGGCCGGTCAGATTCAGGAAACAGTATTTCTTGATTAAGAAGTACCACTATCGGTAAACACACGTGATTGTTTTTTACCAGCCGTCAGTGTGATTTGCAACTTATTACAGTTTCTCCAAGTTAGACTTGGCTGACATACCCTCCCAGCAGCCCTGACACCATACCGGAAAATAACACACAATACACAATATTTTACTAAATAACATCATGTATTTTAGAATGAAATGGCTCATTTAATATTTGTTACAAGTCTATACAAGTTTTTTTTTGTTTTTGGTCACAGTGCGTTTCTTGGACAAATCTGTCAATAAACTCTGAGAAACTTTTCTCTTTGTCATTTCGTTAAACCGTTCAAAATGCACATTCATAGTTGAAAGCTTTGACTATAAATAAAACAAGACATTCAATCCCTATGTTAAAGTTGTAGCCAGTTTTTAACCAAAATCATCTTAGTTGATGTGAGCCACCGACAGATTATGCTTACCTAAATTAACAATTTCTGTTGGATACACAATCTTTTTTACCAATTCAAACTAATGTAATGACTTATGGTGTGCTATAGCAACTGTTATGACCCTTAAACCTGGCCAGCGACAAAAAATAAGGTTAAAAATGAGTTTTAGTCGCTAGCGCATTCTGTGACTGGCTCACACAACCAAGTTTTTTTTAGCAAAAAATTGGCTACAGCTGGTACATATTGATGGGATGTCTAAATGGTTGAAAATAAACAGCATAACAGTCTACTATACAGATTACAGAACAGAACTAGAACACAGAGTAAACAACTAACCTAAAAGATAAGCCGTCTGGCGTCTGGCGTCTGCTTAGTGCTTAGCTTACAGTGCAATCCTGCAGTGTTACCTCTCAAACTACTCTACAAATTTACTCCCGCTGCCTGGGTATATTCATTAAATAAACCTTTTAAAATTAGTATTCTATAAAATCAACTAATAATTAAGGAATTAGATTAATAAAAGTAAAACCAAATCAAAACTAAATCACTAAGTTTCAGTTATAAACTTCAAGCAACTGTATTTAAGAAGTAGGATTGTTGTGATACAAATATTTTATTTTCATATTAGGGTTCTGGGGGGGGGGGGGGGGTTCTATCCCCCTCATTCCCCCCCCCCCCCATAGTTATGCTACTGGGACACATTAAGAAGAAAGAAGAGAACTCTGGTTTGTAATACAGGATTTACACAACTTCAATAAAAAAAACCATATTGAGGAATGTTCCTTATGGCAGAATACCAGCTAAGGTCCGTAGCTGGTCAGACTAGCTCCATAGGGATATAAGAAACTTTGAAATGATCAGAAAGCAACACTTGAAATGCATACCCCAAGACTCATTAACTTTACTCAACACGGTTGGTAGAAACACCTTGTTTACCTGAGGTCTGGGTCCTAGGATTTTTGAGAATATTGTCTGAATGAGAGTGATTCCCACCGGGTATCCGATGGTTGTTAGGATGAACCCGAGCAAGAACTGCTCCAAGGTCATCTTAGGAGTGTAGGAACACCAATCCTGCTTGACAGGGCATCCTACAGGTTCTGTGTCATTCACTGCACAAATTAGATCAGAGTGATTAGTTACATAAGGTACAAGTTGCAAGTTGCAATATGCAAGCATGTTTGGAAAAAATATTTGTGTGTTAATCCAAACAAAGTAGCTTTGAATAAAAAACAAACCATGTATAAGACAATTTTAAGGATTGAGCTGGTACTTTTTTGTTTAGGTAGCCTATCTAAATAATTGTTAATTTCTAATTTTGCTATACTTTTTTTTAATAACTGTTTTGAAAATGTATAGCAAAACTGTTTTGGTTTTGTAGTCATTGGACATTTTTGTGGACTGGAAATTGTTAGCAGTGTCAGCATAAAATCAGCATAAGAAAACATAGCAAAGTGAACATAACCTTTCACAATAAGCTTTGCATTCACAAAAGCAAAATAATTATTTGATTCGTTTCCTGAATTCTTAAGTTTTGGAGTTTAGTTTTGATTTTGTTATAGGCCTATAGGAAATTCTAGACAAGGAAATTTTACTACAGAGCCAGACGTAGAACATTGAAAGAAAGCAGTTAAAATGTGAAGTTAAGGTCATGTTAAATTTGAATAAAGTCTGATAAACCGGCCTACGGAGTTTAATTAAATAGCTAAGTAATAAAAGCCACAGTAACAAGTGGTGTAATATAACAACAAATTTAAAAAATTCTTCAGTGTAGGTACTCATTATAAAAAAACATTATATTTAGTGAAAGAAGGTATATTTGCGTATTTAGAACTGTACAATTAGTGACATGGAAAAATCGATGCAACTACTAAATCTGTACAATAATTGACAACTCCTAATAAATGTGTAAATATAAATTTAAAAATTCAACAACAGGAGTGTGCTACTAAATAAAACAAGTTGATAGTAGATTCAGATTAACTGTGAAAATATGATGGATAATTTAATTGGTTGTAGTGAATTGAACCCGGTTTCAAATAAACTTAAAAAGGTTACTACCTTTAAATCGAAAGTGTTAAAAAATTAAGTAAATTTTTATTTGTTGTGGACATACTAACCTCAGTGTTTACTTACTTGTAGGATAGGCAATGATTGGGGGATCATTTCCATATGGTATGTACACAGCCCTTCCCAAAACCATCAAGAAAAATCCTCCCCACACCAACACCCGGCACTCATTAAAGCTAACAAAAAAAGCAACAAATTACTCATTTGTCATCACGATTGTACAGAAGGTCTACATCTTTGGAATTTTACAAGACATAACTTATTACCAGGGATGTGTAATATATAATTTATGCTTCTGCAGAGAATTTAGTTACGTTCATTGTTTTGACACATTAACAGTAGTCAAATTATCATAAAAAAAGAAGGTATAATGAAATATTCACATAAAATACCCCTCATATCCGACCTTGGCATAACCGCCTCTTTGGGATATCCTACTTAGTGTCCGACCATCTACAGGGTGGCCACAGAGCTCACGGAAAAAATGCACGCATTCCCCCCCCCTCCAGTTTTCTTGGTCATTAAGTGTACAAATGTGCCATACAAGTGGTCTGCCGCGGGTCCCTGATATTTTCGGGTAGGGTCGAGAGTGGGCTCAAGCACGTACCTAAACAAACAGGCCTAAAATGTTGGGCCAAGCTCGGTTTGAATAAAGTGCATGTGCACGATCATTAATTGACCATTTTTCTGCAAGAGAGACGATGATGTTGCCGTAACCGCAGAAGATTTTCATGATTTTGCTGGGTCCACTGAAGATGATCTCTTTTAACTTGACTGCAATAGAAGTTCACGATTTTCCCGTCACCACCGAAGATGCTCAGGTTGTCACCGTAACCGCAGACCAAAAATCAGGGATTCTAAATGAAATTGAAAGGTACCAAATTACTACCAACCTATCCACGGTTTCCCCGATCTGTGGCCCCTCTTGTCTGCTCACATTTTGGCTAAAGATTATTTCATGATATGTATTCATTGTTACGTTAAAAATATAAACGCAAAATAAATAAACCTTCTTATTTGTAAAAAAAGATTATTTTGTACCTCCTGATATCTGAACTTTTGGCCATTCCAACCAAAGCCCGGTCCTGTCATGGTCGGATATGAGGGGTTCTAATGTACAGTATTGCTCATGAAAGATTTGGTCTAGTGGAAAAAGTCAGGTTTCAATTATATATTAGTCTTTGTACAATTAATAAACAGAACAACTTACAGCTACACTTTTTTTTAAGAGGTTGGCAACCTCTTTTAACCTTCCATTTGCCCGTCTACATAGACTACAGATATGTGCATGGAACGTATCCAGCAAAGCAAGGGGTGAGCCGGTACAGTACTAAGGTGAACTGTACTGATAAATTTTAGTGGCAGTGACCAGGATCCGAACCCACGAGTCACGACATCACTGCCTTGAGCCCGAAGTCTGTGACGCTACCAACTGAGCCACCGACTCACCGATATTTAATCTTATCAATTATCAGTTATCAATCATTGAGATGGGGACGCCACCTAGGTGCGTATTTTAAACCCAAATATGAGTGAAGGATGAGTGTAGAATGGTGTGTGATGACCTGTGTAGCTTTGTTACTGACTAAGATCAGGGGTTTCATTAGTCAGGATAATCTATATATAAAGCCAAAAGTACCCATGAACTTTTGAGAAAACTACAAGTCACACCCCCATAAACCATATACTTATGTTCGTCATGACGAGAAACCTTGCATAAAACTATCCATTATTTCATAAATTGCCCAATAAGGTCTTAATTGCTTTCCAAAGGGAACTTTCCATATACCTAATGTTAAAAATACCTCAGCTGTATTAATTTGTATGTTATTCTTTCAATTTATTACCTTATTATAATCAGGTGAGATTATTTGTTTGTATTACTGTATTCTGTTTTGTTTACTTCAGCTTAACCTAACCAATTAATAGTTTTATTATTACTTATGAAGTCAAACAGGGTGAAGCCCGTGGGTAACAACTAGTTTATTTGAAGCCCAATGATCAGGAACAGCTGGGTCCAGTTTCGAAACATCAAAAAGCTACTGACTTTTCTCAGGATCGAACCAGCGACCTTTTGATTACTAGGCGAGCACTATAACCACTCAGCTACCCAGCCAGTTACTTATCACACTCAAACTTACAAGAACAAAACTTTACACTTTACACAAATCAGCATAAAAGTGTACTACATTCTTAAGTACAACATAAAAAAAAATAATAAATTGGGGATAGGCTAACATATTAAAATCTAAGGGTTTTCAAAGACATCCAAGGCTCAACAAAATTCTTTTTAGAGATCGGAGATGTCTGGGAGTTGTAGACACCCTGAATCTAGAAGTTTTTGGAAAATAAATAAGTTAACAAATTTCAAAATAAAGAAGCAAACAAACATCAGGTATAGTGTATAATGTAAAGTATCTGTGTTTCTTGTACTAGGGTAAGCTTGCAATCCAAGCAATCCTTAAAACCGAGGTTGTTTTACTCTATGTTACATCGTTTTGTTTTTTTTTCTGTAGTCTACGTTTTGAAAATTCTAGTGAATATAATCAGCTGTCTAAATATTGTAAACTTTATCATACACATTTCACAGAACCACAACCAAATGTGTGTAAAGCAATAACTACTATACTTCATTCCCCATATTTAGTCAGTTTTAGGGGACGAAATCTATCGCCTCCACTTGAACCTTACCTTTAAAATAATAGCTCAACAGCTGAACAAGCAACATACATTAAAAACAAAAAAGTGGCGGGGGAACCTACCCTCAAACCGCCTTCATATTGTGATCGAAGTATAGTTCAGTGCCTACATCCAATAGTGGCGCAAATGTAGATAAGAGTTTAGGAGAAAGTTTACAGGTCCAGAAGAATAATATTAAAAATAAGCATTGCAACTTCACAAAAAAATAGATTTTGAAATTTAACAAAACTTTCTATCATCCAGTAGATCTGTTAAGGGTTTCAAGAAGTAGAAAAATGTATTCACAGACAAACATAAACTTACTGTTTGCACAGTGGCTTGATGAGGACGAAGGCTACACAAGCTATCACTCCCCCGGCAGACAGAAGAATGCCGATGTTGGACAACGCTTGGGATTTGGTCCAGGCAAACTGATCCATTGTCAAAGAGGTGCCTAGTCTGAAAAAGCATCTTACGTCAACTTTTCATAGACAGATATGTATTATGTTGATCGTAAATCTTTGAGTGTTGAGTGACTTTTTACTAAGTCTCACAAACTATTAGGCTCTGAAATATAGTCTGATAAAACCAAGAATCGGATATTTAAAACTATCATAAGGCCTACCACCAAAGACCAAAGACTTCTAAGTAAACAGACAGAGAAGAATATCCAAGTAAAACCATGGACAAACAATTGACAATGGAGACTATAGAGTAAAACAAAGAACTTCTAAGCCATACTCTGATTTAGATATAGTTCGGCTGCTTAGAAAGCGACCTCCTCCAGCATTGGTTTAGCATTAGCGCGCAGGTCGTTTTCTAAGCGGCCGAACTATAGTAGCAAATTGCTTAACAGAAGGATCATAAAGGTTAAAAAATGTCTAGGAAAAGTAACAAGTCCAATGTCAATTTTGTTTACCCATTGCTTACTTTGATATTGTTTAACTAGTCGCTAAGCTATTTAGATCGATCTTTGTTTCGATAAAGCTGGTTAGCCGAGTTGTTGAATAATACTTGTCTTATAACAAGGCCACACTAAAAAAACAGGCCGTAATGCTCGTCCAGCATGACGTCACGATAGAAGACGGCAATGACGAAATTTTGCCGTTTGTGATCAGCTGCTGGTTTTAATCTTTCATTGGAAAATAAATAAATAAGTATTTATACGTCATAGCCGTCTTCTATCGTGACGTCATGCTTGGTGAGCATTACGGCCTGTTTTTTTAGTGTGGCCTTGCTTATAATCAGATGCTTGCCAGTCCAATCAGTGAATGGTAAGCAGCTTTTGATGGGTATAAGCTGCACTCAGCTGTCCTTGCTAATTAGGCTTTCAATAGATGGTCTTAGCTAAGAAAACAACTGGTCTCAAATAACACAAAGCTTGATATCCATCCAAAATCAATCTTTTATTCATATTTGGGTTAAAACTTAAAATGTCATGTTAATGTGACCCTCATCTTAATATAGTGTTATCTTTATAGATTGGGGCATAAGATAACAAAATGCTTTGACACTGGACGCTGCTACAAATCAGTGGAGTGATGTACAATATAAATCTGGATAAATGTTTTTTTTTTTCAATAAACAACACTAGATTAACTTTGATTATTAGGTAATCGGAGGTTAACTGTAAGAAAGGACCACAAGGTTTTATAAAGCAAATAAATGTTAATACCTTAAGTGCTTTCTTGCAGACTGCTTAAACAATCAAACTATTTACATAAACACAGTAAGATTAAAACTGTTGACTAAATTAAGTTAAGTACAAATAAAATGTAACTTCAGTGTTTACTTTATTATAGACTAAATAGTTAATACTTACGTTTCAAGAAGGACAAAATTGAACACTAGGATGAAGAACGCAATGATCATCGTCCAAGCACACAGGTAGTCGGGTTTGCAGCCTTTCCATGCAGCTTTTTCTGTGCGAAAAAATGTTTGATACTTTCTGCTTCACAATGTTTGTATTTACAACTTATTGCTAAACCTTTAGCAAGGGGGTTGGAACATAAGTTTGGCTTGTGTTATTTGAAGGACAGTTAGAGGTGTTGAAACTATAGTTCGGCCGCTTAGAAAACGACCTGCGCGATAATGCTAAACCAATGCTGGAGGAGGTCGCTTTCTAAGCGGCCGAACTATACATATAGTACTTTATTGTGTAATGTCAAAATGTTCTGCCTCCTCGAAACTATAGTTGATAGTTTAATAGGCCTATCATATGTTTTTGGTTTTGTGTTATGTAAATAAGATCAATAATTAGAATGGTTCGAATAGAAATCAAGTTTGTTACAATTCAGCAATGTCCTTATTTAAATGTTAAAAGCTATAATTAAAAGTAAAAGTAAAACTACAAAAGTAACAGTAGGTTATGGGCCCAGTCCCAGAAAAAGCTTGTAACAATAACTAAAAAATATTTATGTGAAAAGAAAACAGTAACGGGTAAGATGACATTAATAAATAGTGATGAAATAGTGTGCATACAAAAATAACAGAAAGAGAAAGAGGGTCTGAAATCTGACCTCGTCTTTAGGTAAGAAGGGACCTTAGAAAGTGACTAGATTAGAGCTTTGATCCAGGTAAAGCCGAGAAACACAAAAAATTATACAAATGTGAAAATGTCAGATTATAAAATGAAAGAAAGAAAAAAATTGTCAGCCTTTAATTTAGTTGACAGCTGAGTTTTATTACTTTATTGCAATGAATATACGAGAAACTAGTGATGGATCTAAACAGAATATAAAATCTCAAAACTACCAAAACTTTGAAAAAGTTTATTTAGTTTCAAGATTCGATCGGCAAGTTTTGAGATATAAAATTTCAAAAAGGAGTTTAATTTATTTCAGCTTTTTGTTCATAAAAAAATATATTATTAAGTTCAAGTAAAATTATTAATCTCATTCGTATATTTGATGTCAGTGTCAGAAGTTTAATTTATTTGTTGTTTATAAAAAATAATTTTTTCTAGGTTTAGTGCATTATACTGTTCACAAAGTTTAGGCGGTTTTAAGGGGAAGCTAGTCCATCCCCTTCACCTCACCCTAACTTTGAAACAACAGCCGATAGCTGATAATTACATTAAGCTAAAAAAGTGGCGGAGGATCCAGTAAACCTTCCCCTAGAACCGCCTAAATTCTGTGAACGGACTATAGTTACATGTTCATGTTAATATGTCGGGGTCAGCAGTCCGATTCTTTTAGTTTCTATCACATAAATGGGTGCACAGAAGGAGCCTCCCCGAAGATTGTGACCATTACACGCTATGAACGACATCACAATCGGGCGCACCCCGGGCAACGCTGACATGTCAGCGGCAAATCCTTCTACAACCGGACGACATCGAAAAATGAATCTGCCTAAACGATCTTTTTCAAGACCATTAGTAACGATCTCGATTAATATCGAGAGACAAAGAAGTATTACTGTCTGATATGTGCAAGACGTACGAATGCGACTTCCTCCATGTGCAAGAAACACACCGGGGCATTTTAAAACCTAGACCCAACATAGAGGGAATGAGACTGATTCTAGAGAGACCTCATGATCAATATGGTAGATATCATCTCAGCTTTGCTTACTGAGAGGAACAATATTGAGATACTAACGGTCAGGACACCACAGTACAGTGTCACCTCTTTGTATAAGCCTCCCGAATCTCAGTATGTATTTACAGAGCCCGACAATCTATGCTATGATGACATTAATTTCGTCTTGGGGGATTTTAATTGTCAGAGCATTGCTTGGGAATACAAAGAGACAAGTGAAAATGGGACAAAACTTGAAACCTGGGCTGAGGCAAATGACCTGCAGCTCATACACGATCCTAAGCTCCCTTGATCCTTTAACGGCAGTAGATGGAAGAGGGGCTATAACCCTGACAACATCTTTGTGAGCAGCAGAATTGCCTCCCCGTGTGAAGAGTCTGTAGGTGATCCGATTCCCCGAACTCAACACAGACCTATAGTATGCACCGTTAGAGCTGTTGTTAAACCTGAAGTTGTTCCTCTAAGGCGCAGGTTTAATTTCAAAAAGGCCAACTGGACGGGTTTTAAGGAGATCATTGACAGAGAAATCGCCAATATCCCTCCACAACCTGATATATATGACTCCTTCGTTAAGCTTGTCCAGCAGGTCTCGAGAAAAATGATACCTAGAGGCTGTCAAACCCATTACATCGCAGGACTCTCTGAAGAGGCAAAGCCACTGCTAGAACTATACCAAGGTCTCTTTGACAATGATCCCTTTGCTGAGGACACACTTCACACAAAGCAGGTGAAGAGCTTATGTCAGTCATTGCCGAAAATCGCAAAACTAAGTGGTGTGATCTAGTGGAGAGTTTAGATATGCAGGTGAACAGCAGACGGGCCTGGAAGTTCCTCAAGAACATAAATGGAGATGCGACAAAACCAAAAGACAACTTTACAACAGTTACTGCCGATCAAGTCGCTACCAACCTTCTTTTAAATGGCAAAACCTATGGAAGGAAACCGCACACTGACATTTAAGGCACATTGTATTGCGACAAGAGGTAAAGTCTCAGCGAGGAATAATATCATCAGGAAGCTCACCAGCAGATGCTGGGTTGCTAACCTTAATGTCCTCAGAACCTCAGCTTTAGCGCTCAGTGTGTTGGCTGCGGAGTACGCTGCACCAGTATGGAATGCATCGTCACATGCAGTACACAAACTCTATCCTATCATAGGGATCCTTCAATCCGACGTGATGTCACTGCCGACGCAGAAAGGACTAAGCAAGAGGCGGACCCTCGTGACCCATTACAGGGCCACCAACCTGCAGAGCGACGGCTTCGGTCCAGAAAGAGCTTTTTATCACGGACACGAGTCCTGGACGGATCACTCTCAAGCAATCGAGTAGCAAGATGGGAGGCCACGTTGACTAACGCTCCCATACCAGCCAGGGAGGAACTGGCTCCTGGTGGAGGCCTTCATTACACGGTGTGGAAGACCCTAAATCGAATTAGGGTCGAGGTACCAAAATGCAAGACAAACATAAAGAAATGGGGTCTCTTACCAGACGAAGAAAACATCTTGTGCGCGTGTGGTGCTGTTCAGGATCCTGGCCATCTGCTGATCTGCCCACGCCTAGACCAGTCTTGCACATTAGATGATCTTTTACATGGGAATGACAAAGCCATATCGGTAGCTAATTTTTGGAAAAGCAAAGTCTGATTTCCGGACACGGAAAGTAAGTAAGTATCACATAAAAAACATTCTATTATTACTGTATTTTTTAACCTTAATGTAAGTAAAATAGATTCACATTTAAGTATCAAGATTCAGGATTTGTTTTTAAATTTGTAGTTTCGGTATTGAAATTCAAAATTTCTGGTTTCAACCATCACTACCAGGGCCTGATTACCCGTTAGGCTAATTAGGCTGGAGCCTAGGGCGCCAGTCAGCCAAATATTTTAGGGGGGCGCCAGACAGCTAAGACTTAAAGTTGGGACCAGGGGCGTAAAAAATGTTTTATTCAAAAAAAAGGATTCGCGCACGGCGCAAATAGGAAATGAGTACGGTGCGAGCGATGTGAACACCGTGGTGACACGACAGCGACTGGCGCCGCCCCCCCCCCCCCCACAAACCGCCCCTCCCCCTCGAAACGCCCCTGCCACTGCCACTGCCAACCTCTCCTCGACATATGCGCAACCACCTACAAACGTTGTTCTGCGCAACATCCTTTCAAGTTTGTAGGCAGGGCGCTTAATAATCCCTAGATTTCCCCGGATGCCACACCTGTTTTTTGGCAAATAAATCCTAAACAAACGATCAGTGTCAGTCAGAGTCAGTAGTATGTATGTTTGTTTTTTAGTGACGACCGTATGACTGTGACTGTGATCTGACGTGTGTACAGTGTACTTTGTGATATTGATATGTTTAGTTGCGGAGTGGCGTACTTTGTTCATGTTAAATGAGTAATGAGTGACAAGAAAAAACCAAGTGGCGCAGAGTACCGGAAAAGAGCCCGGGAACGTAATGTGCGGGAAGAAACAATCATAAGTAAATGTCCCAAACTGTATACGTTTTTTAATCAACCAAAAACGACATTACAAAGCGACTGTGAATCAGTGTCAGTATCAGTGAATCAGTGTGAATCAGTACCGGCACTGACGGCGCCTTCGCCTTCCCCCCCCCTGCTGTGGCACCTGTGTTGGCGTCCACATCAGTGTCAGTATCAGTGAATCAGTGTGAATCAGTACCGGCACTGACGGCGCCTTCGCCTTCCCCCCCTGCTGTGGCACCTGTGTTGGCGTCCACATCAGTGTCAGTATCAGTGAATCAGTGTGAATCAGTACCGGCACTGACGGCGCCTTCGCCTTCCCCCCCTGCTGTGGCACCTGTGTTGGCGTCCACATCAGTGTCAGTATCAGTGAATCAGTGTGAATCAGTACCGGCACTGACGGCGCCTTCGCCTTCCCCCCCTGCTGTGGCACCTGTGTTGGCGTCTTCCTTCTTGTCCACTTCGGAACCTTGGACACTTTTCCAATCGTTTGAGGACCATCTACAAGAGAAATCTCCTCAACATATCAAGGTAATTGATATTGATAACAATAATGAGGCAATTGAAAAACATTTTGATGATCCGGCTTTGTGGAAAATAAATGAAGACCTTCGTGAACATATTGCAATACATGGGATCACTCAGAATGACGATGTAGACTTTTCAAAATCTGCTAGGCAATATTCAGACCAAAAACGGTTTTTAAGTAAGAATTTATTTTACAAAAAACTTGTCAATGGAGAAGTAGTTAAAAGGTGTTACCTAGTTTACTCAAAATCAACTGGTCGTGTTTACTGTGCTCCTTGTAAACTTTATGGCGGAACTACCGCCTTGGGAAGTGTTGGTTTTAATGACTGGAAAAACTCTCACATTGTGCATGACCACGACAACAACACTGAACACAGACAATGTCTTAGCAAATATTTAGCCCGAAGTAATATTTCGAACAGAGTTGATAAACACCTGATGTTGCAGTATCAAGAAGAAGTGCAATATTGGAAAAATGTGTTGCTCAGAATAATAGAAGTCGTACAATTTTTATCTTCTCGAGGACTTCCTTTTCATGGCGAAAACGAAGTTATAGGTCCAAACAACAATGGGAACTTTTTGGGGTGTATTGAACTGTTGTGCAAATTCGACCCTTTTATGGCTGATCATGTTGCCCGATTCGGAAACAAAGGCAGGGGAGTGCCATCGTACTTATCCTCTACAACGGTAAATGAATTTGTTACAATTATAGCAGACCACGTAAAAGCTAAAATCATAACAGAAATCCAAATGTCATTTAAATTTCAATTATTTTCAATTATTGTCGACTCCACACCAGATGTGGAAAATGTGGATCAACTAACGTTTGTAGTTCGTTATGTTTTACATGTTTTCATACCCAATAGTGGACACAAAGGTGAAGACATGGAAAAAGCTGTAATTTCCACGCTTGAATCCCTAGAGTTAAATATAAATGACTGTAGGGGCCAAAGCTACGACAATGCAAGCAACATGTCAGGCTGCTATAAAGGGCTACAAAACAGAATTAAAATGCTTAATCCACTTGCTATGTATGTTCCTTGTGCAGGCCATTCATTGCAGCTTGTAGGCTCTGCAGCTGCTGGTAGTAGCCAAAATTCCGTTGAATTTTTCGCTGTGGAACAGCAATTATATAATTTTTTCCATTCCTCAACTAAGAGGTGGGAAATTTTATTATCTTACTATGAAAAAGACGCACTTACAATGAAGACACTCTCAAAGACTCGTTGGAGTGCTCGAGCTGATGCAAGTAAATCCCTGTACAGATCCTATAAACCAACTATCACAGCGTTAGAAGAGATCAGTGCAAATGAAGAAGAAAACAAGGAAACCCGATTTGAGGCAAAACAGCTATCAGAAAGACTAAAATCCTTAGAAATGGCTTTGATGACTTGTTTTTGGAATGAAGTTCTAACAAAGTTTAAAGATGTTAGTGAAAAGCTTCAGGGTGAGGACGTGAACTTAGAACAAACGGTGGTGTTGTATGAAACTCTAGAATCTTTCTTAACAGCCTTGAGAAATGAAGAAGAATTTTCCAATTTTGAAATTAAAGCAAAGACCATCTGTGACAGTGAGAGTTATAAGAAAGATAAAACTAGGAAAAAGAAGTTGAAGGTACCTTTTGGTGAAAGTAAAGAGGGGCAAACAGAGTTTGATGGACGGAAAGAATTCCTCGTAAATTCTTATTACAGCGCAATTCACACACTTAAAAGCCATCTGGAGACAAGGAAAGAAGTTTATTTGAGCCTAAGGGACTCTTTCTGCTTTTTGTGGAGTTTGAATGAAGTGGAAAACACCACCTTATAAGAGAAGGCAAACCATCTGTTAAAAATGTACCCTTCAGACTTGGACATTTCATTTCCAGAAGAATGTCTGTACCTTAAAGAATTTTTACAAGAAAATGGCGAATTCTACAAAGAAGAAAAGGCAATTCTAGAATCGAAATAAAAAATGAAGGTAAAAAAACTGTGGAAAAAGTGCAAAATTGGGCACTAAGGCTTACAGACTTTTGAAACACTTGAAGTATCTGAAGATAGATTCACTTTTTCCAAATGTTGAAGTGGCTTTAAGAATATTTTTAAGTATGGCCGTAACAAACTGCAGTGGTGAAAGATCGTTTTCTGCTCTTGGGCGAGTGAAGAACTTTCTTAGATCAACTTTAAGTCAAGATAAAATGAAGTCACTTGCACTTTTGTTTATTGAAAATGAGTTTGTGGAAACAATATCCTTTAACCAAATAGTTGAATCATTTGCGTCAGCCAAAGCACGAAAGAAAGACTTTGCATAAATTTGCCTAGCTTGCATAAGTTTTGAATCAAGTGTTGATGATCATTCGTGAATATGGACAGATATTCATAATCATTATATTTATAGTAGGCCTAATGATTGATTTGTAAAAACATTTAACGATACTTGTTGTTGCAGATAAATACAGATAAATGCTGTAAACTAAGTAATTCCATCTAAAAGGCACTAATAAAATTGTTTTAGGCCTAGCAGGTGATTAACAGAGTTAATTAAGAAAGTACTTACCTATGTTATTGTTTGGTTTTTTGATATTTTAGGTTAGGTCTACTTTTGATTTAATACAATCATATATGTTTAATAAAATGTAAAATAAATACATAATTTTTTTAAGTTTTACATTCCTTGAACAACCGACTTGTTACTATTTTAAAAGTTCCTAATCAAACCATGCATTTATGTATGATCAGTTTTCTTTTGTTTTTAAATAAACTGAATAGTAGTATAATGCCTTTCTTTGGCCATTTTTAATTTTTGAATTCAGTATTAGTGTTTATACTTTAAAATTTTGAAAGTGGTGGCAGATTGGAGGGGTAGTGTGATGAGGGGGGGGCGGGGGGGGGGGGCGCGAAAAAATATCAGCCTACTGGAGACTAGACCCTTAATCAGGACCTGATCACTACAAGAAACTGATTCCAGCTTTTCTATCAGAAACTTTGTAAAACCCCTTAACTAATCCACAAGAGAAAATGTCCTTAATACTCTAAACATTAATGAAAACCTAGTAAAAAGATTACCTGATTTAGCTCCGACCATTATCATAGCTTCTCTTGCTGCGATGTATCTCTCAGTGAAGTAAAACGGAGAAAATAAAATTGCGTTGAACAATCCGAGCAATACGTTGATCCACCCTGCAGCCGTGTACATGTTAAGCGTAATCCACCCCTTGAATAGAACCTTCCCTTGCTCCCCAAGGGGTGTAACCGCAGCCTGCAGCCCTAAGATCACCGGAAAGTGTACAAAATCTCTACAATTTTCTTGGTAAATAAAATAATTTTTTAAATATTCTAGTTGAAGGTATTTACATATCGAGTAAATGGTTCTGGAGTATGAAGAGGTATAAAATAAAATAAGCCGTTAAGAAAACTGTTTGCATGCAAGAAGTAATTTTTTGTTTAAATGAAAATTACAAAATTTTTTTTAGGTTAACTATATGACCTAGTATGTATAAAACATTTTAAAATAAAAATTACTGTCATACAAAACAAAATTAAGATTATACAAGACTATTACAAGACTAGGCCCTCCTTTATGGAGTGGAAACATGGATTACGGATAAAAAAACGGAAAGGAATATGGTTGGATTTGAAAATAGAAGTTGAGAAAAATATTTGGACCATTTAAAGAGGGTGAAGGATGGAGAATTAGGCACAACCAAAAAATCAGAGAAATTTTCCTTTCCCCAGACATAGTAGGAGAAGCAAAGAGATGAAGACTACTGATGACTGGCTATTTAGGAGGGAAGATGGGGAACTCGTTTAAAGAAGTTTGGAGGCGAAGAAAACCCAGCGGGAAGAAGACCCTGGAGGAAGACCCAAGAATCACTGAAAGGACCAGGTGGAAAATGATTTGCAAAAATTTAGAGCAAGGCAAGAAGATTCGGAAGGCAGGAGAGATATGGAGGCATTTTGTTGGCAAGGCCAAATAACGCCTAGGATATACATGGCCATGGGAGTAAATAGTACCTCTTCAAAAACATGTACAATTTAGGTGACTCAGACAAAAAATCTACGGCTTTTGAATCTTAGTGCTGTTTGAAGGAAAAAATATTAACCTGGACCGACGATAAATCCAAGGACTTGAGCTAACGACACCATAGATACAGCCTGGGTCCTCTCGTTGAGTTTGGTAGCAGCGGACAGGTAAGACCGGCAAATTGCAATATTGGCTGTAAACAATAAAACGCTTTTTAATAGTTTATTAATCTAACTGCCACAGACGGTTTTTTCTTTGAACAATTCTGTAAAATAGTTAATACAGAGGCTAGTAAGATAGAAGTCGTCCAGTGGTTGTAAACTCGACCAAAAATATGTAATGTACAGACTTCTCTATTTTCACCCCACACCGTATATAAAACATCTGATTGGAATTTGTTTGTTTATATTTTGTTGTTATTTCGTCACCATTTTAGCAACCAATAAAACCAATGTAAATTTTTTTTTAATTTCAAATTAATTTTTCGTTCTTATATTTGAGCCTGTTTTAATTTATTAAAGGACTAGCTGTACCCGCGGGCTTTGCCCCGTTTTACTTCATAAGTGAGCTCGTTTGCATGGCTCAATCACGTCCTGGTTGAAGTTCGTTCCCTACGCTCACTCACCTTTAGGTTGGAGCTCGTTCGCTGCGCTCTTTTGCCTTCAGGTTAGCTCGTTCGCTACGCTAACTCGCCTCCAGGATGAAGTTCGTTCGCTACGCTCACTCACCTTTTGGTTGCAAATTAGCTGTTGTCATAGATAAAAAAAAAATAATAGTGCTGCACCCTGTTGGTAATCCTTGTAAGTTTTTAATGCTTTTGCATATCATAGAATCAACTTTTTAGCTGACTAAATTATTTAATTCCCTTTTAATATGAATACTCATAAGGTTAACATGGGGAACTATAGAGCCACTGGGGCGGAGACCGAAAGGATTTTTGAGATAAGAATATGCCTATATGTTAATCGGGAATGTGAGCTATCATCATGCCAAATTTCAGCAAAATCCGTCCAGTGGTTAATGCGTTCACTTGTCTCAAACATACATCCATACATACATCCAAACTTTCTCATTTATAATATTAGTAGGATTCTGCACATCTACAGGAAAATATCGTTCATTTCGTACCGACCGCATGTAATTCGGTCCAGTAGTATAGCCAGGCTAGCTGTCGTAAGTTTTTTAGTATATAAGATGGTTAGTTTAAAGATTCCATTTTCCTTACATTCAGTTTTGTCACACATTGGAGTTATAAAACACTTTGCAATATCTGACATAAAGACTGGATGGGTGAAGTAGCTAGTTGTGTATGGAGAGCACAAAGTACGTCATTGCCGTTTGAGAACTGTAAATGGGCGCAAGAAGCTTTAGCTGAGTGCAGCCATACATTTCAAGAGCTGACTGTTTGTGCCTCGGTTCACACAATATTTGTCCTACCACCATAATTAGCTTATCATAACACACAGATTAACATTTTAGTTGTACAGTACATAAAATGGCATTTATGTTATGATTGCTGCTATTTGCTAACCTGATGTTCGTGTTTTACTGAAACGCCAACAGTGAAATAATTTGTTTTAGAGAGCAGCAAGTTAAAATGTAACATTATGTGTATTTACTTGTGTAATTTTTAGTGTCTTATGGCAACTGAGCGACAATGGATGGATTATTTTGTGAAAAGATTAGGGCCCTAGCTTTACTGTCTGAGTACTGCATAAGAAATAATGGCAATCTTCTTGGAAACCATTTTCTTGTCCCTAATAAAACCAGTTATGTAATGGGGGGGGGGAAAGCCCAAACAATTTCACTTTACTAGCTTTGCCAGGTGGGTTAGCTCAACTATAGGACCCAGATGGTACAGCAATCAGTTGAGAAAGATAGAATCGGCTTTATAACAAGTCATAGATGCATGTTTCTGCTAATATTTTTTTTTTTTTTTTCTTATTTCAACAGTGATTTGAGACTACCCTAGTAGTATAGAATTTCCAATAGTTAAAATTAAATATTATTGGTGACTGGTATTATCTTAATTCTAGGTAGACCTATAGGATTGAAATAAATTGCTGTATTTTATAAGATAAAGCTACAAAAAGGGAATATGGCTGGTATTTTATTTCTATTTCATTTAACTGTACATTGTAGTTTTCCAATATAAACATCAAAAACACATCAAGTAATCTCAAATGGCTAAATTAGCTATGCAGGAAGTGACACAAGCTTATAGTATCTCATATGCTATTAGTGGGACAATCAAATGGACATTAGGTTTGATTAGATTAGATAATACTTCAAAACTGATCAATGAAATGATATCAAACACTGCAAGTTGGAATAAATCAATGTTTTGTAAAGGAAGTGCAAAAAGTTCTCGTTTTCAAATCGGTTACAGTATAGTACTGTACATGATGTAAAATAATTAGGGTATTTTTCATTTTAAAAATAAATAAAGATCGTCAATAAGTTGTTTTGTTTTAAGGCCATTATTTCCAGTCCATGCTTAGTGTTGGAGATGAATAATAACTGGGAATCCTTAGTTTGAAGGGGGAAATAAAGTTTCCTGACAGTGCAAACTTGTCACAAAATTACATAAACGCAAACTGAATTCAATATCAACTCTCAGTGATGTAACTTGGTCCTAAATTTTCCAGTGTGGTAACACTTATCATCAGCTCAAAAAAAAAGATTTATCTCGTTCATTTCATGTTTACTAGTTCATACATCAAGAAAAATGCATTATATATGTACAAGTTTCAATTTTTTACGATAACTGTACGCCGAAATATCGATGTCGTAACTTTTGTTACGATTAAAAATTAAAAAGCTGAGTGGGAACGGTGTTTGCAACTAGCAACTTTGTATTGATGAGGCAGACGAGCGATTTTCAGTTCATCTAGTTACTAATAACTTGCAACCGAATACATTTACATACAAATTCTGAACAGTACATTTATATACAAACTGTGAAAACTGAGATGGAGTGGGGGAAAGCGCCATGTTGTAAGTGTGGCTCACTTGTTTAAGGTTGATTCAATATCACATTGTTTTACAATTATACTTTTCTCGGCAGACGTTTTCCTTGGATTTGGCAAGGTGAATTTTTATTGGTTGTATGGGTATATATAATCTCCAGAGATTGAGCGCAGCAAATTGCACAGCCTGTCTTCACTGATTAATGTATAGGTTTACTAGGTAGGCTACTTATAACTTTAAAAAAGTAGAATTAATATTGAAGTGTTATTGTATGGGCGTAGCTTACCTTTGCATCACTTGGATAGACTTGAAAATAAGATAAATTTAAATATTGTTAGCTAAAACATTGTAAATCTTCCTTAACTTAAAATAATTTAAAAATAGAAACATATTGCAGTGGTATCGCAAAAATATGTTATTAAGTTTAACTTAGACCTACTTTAATAGCTTAGGCCTGCAAAATTGTTGCAAGCCTATAATACTTCAGCAAAATTGTTTTTTTAGACCCTTTACTGCTTATCCTTACAGAAACCTTCGAAAGTAATTAAAAATTACACATATTTTTAAAGGGTGACCTAAATAAAGTAAACATACCAGAACTGACACCAATGAAAAACCGAGACAGCAACATCCAATACTTCCTGTAGGAAGGAACCACCTCGAGCATCGAATAGGCAGCGTTGGCGAAAGTAAAGATGAGCAGAGATATGACCAATGGTAGCCGGACGGAGCCTCGGCGGTTACCCCACCAACCGACCAACGGGGAGAAGATCATCTGGGCTAGAGGATTAGCGGCCACAACGTATCCCATAAACTCTTTGCCTGCTGTTGGATCCAGCTGTTAGAGAAAAATTCATGAGAATTTATTACAGTTATCGCAAACTCTCCTGTTAATCAGATTAAATAAATTTGGAATAAATTAAATGTTGTATTTAAATAAAGTTCAAGCTATGATCTAAACATTTATAGTTAAGGAATTTCCTTACTCCTTAAAGGGTTGTTTCTTGTCTAGTGGTTAGCTTCTCAGAGTTCGGTGTGGGAGGGACGGGTTCAACTCCTGACACATCCACAAAGCTCTAGTAGGTTTGGACGGATCCATTACACGGTGTCATATAATTTTTTAGCTGTTACACGATGTCCAAATCTCACCATGTCCAAAAGTACAGTAACTACAAGAAACTTGGTCTTTCTACAAGCTTTGGACATCATGGGATTGGTCGTCGTGCAACAGCGCACTTTATACTCTTAAAAACTTAGCAATAGCACCACGTCCAAAGCCACTGCCAGTTGCATGACGTCCAATAGCTCAGCGCTTTTGCACGACCGGCAGCGGATTTGGATGTGATGCAACTGCTACTTTTTTAAGAGAGTAAAGTGGGCTGTTGCACGATGACCAATCCCATGACATCCAAAGCTTGTAGAAAGACTATCTTTCTTGTAGTTACTGCACTTTTGGACATTGTGAGATTTGGACGTGGTGACACTGGCATTGGATGTTGTGGCATTTGGACGCTGTGCAACACTCCCAGGGCTTACTTTCCCTTAAAAGCGTTTGAACTAACCTTGAAATAAAAAATTCCACTGACATGGACACGAAAAAAATCCAGTGATGTGGTGGGACAGGATCACATGGGAACAGTGTTCTTACTCAAAGAAAAAAATCCTTCATATTAATAGGCAACCTCTGGTTTTTGTTGGCGGTGAACATTCCCGGACAGGGAAATGTGCGACTACGCCTCTGCCTTCATCCTTATCTATTAATTAATATCAGCCTATTTTTTATTAAGTTGTTATTGCCTAGTTTTGTTAAGTTGTTGTTGTAATAGAATAATACAATGGGTCTACTATGCTAAATAGACCAACTGGAAAATTTTGAATTTGAAGGAGAGCTCTCTAACCACTTTGCTAAATTTTAAGGCTCTTGAGGCCAGTTCCCTTTTAGAATAGACGATGGACCAAAGCCATTTTCTCTGAATTCAAACATTGGAAATTGAAGGAATAACCAGCTATAAAGGTTGAGTAATTGAGTCATAATTTATTGAATGATTGGAGCAACTCTCGGCCTAAGCACATCGACCACAGCTTTTTTTGTCACACTTGCCCCTAACTAAGTCTAAGCCCGTATTCTTGACCAAGTATAGGAGCTTTTAACTAATGTTTAATGTTTAAATAATGTGTCTGATTCATCGCCCAGTTGTCAGAGAGATCTTAAAGGTTATAAATATAAATAACAGTGAATAACTAGATTTAATACGCTTTAAACTTACAAATTTTATCATCTTTAACAGATTTCACTATTGTTTACTATTAGTTAGTTACTACAATCCCCATTGATTTTGATTATCATAGTAAAAAACCGATCTAGACCAATAATGAATTACAAAACTAACAACTTTTACTCAGACTTAACTGGCAATCAAGCGACTACCAAATATTTCATATAAACTTTTCCCACTAAATTTGGGCTCCGACAAAATTTTGATCTGACCCAGCTTAAATTTTTGTGGTTGTAAGAATTGTGAACAAAATAAGCTGACTTTAAAAGTTTATTTTTCTAATGACGTCAAGGTGATTTCATATCTTTGTTTGTGGTGGGTTTACACATTTGTATGAGATAAGATGTCTCTGAGGTGGTAGTGTTCAACACTGTATTAAGAGCAGATTTGATTTTCAAAGATCCCACAAATATAATTCAATTTACAATAGACCACTCTATCCAATATGATTAATGAACCAATAACACATGAAAGGCAAAATTAAATCTTTTGGGAGGTACTATTTAGGCCTATCAATACCATTGATCGGTACCATTTATCTCGGTGTAACGTTAAGGCAAATAAAAGAGAAAAAATAATAACGCTCTAAGGCTTATTTTCCATTTTGAATAAATTTTTATTAACCGATACAAAACTGAAGCTTCCAACAACTTTTTTGATACAAAACATCAGTTATTTCCCAGTTAGGTTCTTTGAGGGAACTACAAACTAAAAACTATTTTAGACGTAGTCTTTTGTTAAATTATAAAATTTAATAAGTGTGATCTACGACTTTATATTTCATACCAGTACCGGTACTAAAAATAATGTTTGGCCAAGTTATATATATTATATATAACCAAGCTAAAAAAACATTACCAATGTAGATATTTGTTAGTGAAAAAAATGGACAAAATAAAACTAGACCTAATTTTAGCATATTTAGTACAAATTATGTGTGTTATTTTGATCAGTTACAACAGTTCTTTACGTTTCAGTGTAGGATTTAATAGTAGTACGGTACTTCATTAAAATTGCTTATTCTTTAACAATTATTTCTGATCATTTAGCTTAATAATACAGGAGAGCTGATATGCCTACAAGTGATTCGTACAAGTGGTTCTCAGTACTGTACGGAAAAAACTAAGTATATCAATTTCAGTTTAAGAAAGTCTTTAAAAGATGAAGATCTTGTTATTTACAAATGTATTAAATGTCTATGTCAGCAAACCAAGTGTAATGATTTTTGTGCTCTAGTAGGAGAAGCTGTAGAAATAAAATATCTTGGCCTAACATTAGATAGTGAATTAAATTGGAGAAAGCATGTTTTTAATCTAAAAAACAAATTAAATAATGTGTTAAGAATTTTTTACTTTTTAAGGGAATTGTGTAATGAGGACATCTTGAAAAGACTTTATTTTTCTTTAGTCCAAAGTCGTTTAGAATATGGTTTGACTTGTTGGGGTGGAACATACAAATCAAATATAAATTCTCTTTTGTTACAACAAAAACATTTTGTCAGATTAATTTTAAGAAAAGTAAAAACTGAAACTTCAAAACCATTGTTTTTCTCTTTAAAGATTTTTCCGCTAGAGTATCTATATGTATATAAGGTTTTAAAATATTTTTATAGTAAAAGTGGCAATCGTAACTTTTTTGGAACTTCATACCGAACAAAACTAAGAACTGGAAACAATTTTCCTGTCCCAAAACCAGTGAACACTTTCTTTACTAAAAGTTTTATTTTCATGGCACCAAGGATGTATAATTTGATACCAGATTATATAAAAAGTTCCTTTAATTCTACAGTTTTTTCAAAACGATTACAGAAATGGCTTTTTACGCAAACAAACATCAATTTTCTTACTACTATACAGGTTTTTAACACATTTCAATATAATATTTTTTTAAATCTGTATACTTCATCAATTAAAAGTAGTACAGCAAGAAGTATATGTTTTTGAAAGTGCATTTATTTATTTTTGAGGCAGGAGTATATATTTTAAGTTATCATTTAATTTAAGTTAGCGTCTAAGAGCTGTTTTAGTTTTAAAATGTATGTATAAATGGAGCCTCCATTCAGGCTAGGCCTTGGAGGTCCTAAATTTTCCCAAAAGTAATATAATTTAGTTTGAACATGTAGATATATGGCTACTGTAATTAACTTGAAAATCAAATTTTTGTTTTATATAGCTTATCAGTTATTCTTTTTTAAGTATGTTTCTCATCCTTAGTATATTATAGGTCATGCCATGGCTAGTAGTGTAATAGTGATGTTGTAAACAATTTAATGTAAAAAAAATGGGAAAATAAATATCTTATTTCTTATTTCTTAAGTATCAAGCTGTCAAAAAATGTGCCGTTCATTTAATGTTGTAGCAGCTGATTAAAATTAAAATGACCGCTCAAGGATTGAAGACTGATAGGTCTATCTTGATAATATAAGGATTGTATGGTTATGTTTAGGCCTGTATTACACTATGACATATCTATTATCAAATACAGTATATGATAACATGTTCTCTCTGAGAGAACATATTACATAGACATTTTATCGTAGTTCAACTATATTATAATAGTTGGTCCATTACACTGCAATACTTTTCAAAGACATCAAAGGCAATAGATATGTCTCATAGAACTATAACCCAATGCAGTGGGGAGCGAGCTGGTCTAGTGGTTGGAGTGTGGGACTCTGGTTCCTGGGGTCCGGGTTCAAATCTCGCCAAATCACCAATGGATTTTATCCAAGTGATACTGCCGTAGAAAACAAAGTAAAAAACATGTGGAAGAAAACAAGATGATGACCAACCAAGATACCAAAATAACAACTACATTGAAATTGAAGAGTATAAATTTAAGATAGTAACAAATTTCAAGTATTAGGGAGTCATCCTCACTAGCGATTATGATGAAGAGCTAGAAATACAAAATAGATTAAACCTAGCACAAAAAAGTTTTTCGGCCTGTCACAAGTTACTAACTTCAAAAATAATATCCCACACCACCAAACTCAGGATTTATAAGACAATCATCAGACCAGTTCTCCTGTATGGTTCAGAAAATTGGATCTTAAGCAAGAAATCAGAAAGGAAAGCTATTGTATTTGAGAACAAGATTTTGAGGAAAGTGTACGGACCGATTTTTGAGGATGGACAATGGAGATCGAGACATAATTGGGAACTAAGAGAATTATTTAAGGATCCGGATATTGTCGCTGAGGTACGGAGCAGAAGACTGAGATGGGCAAGGCATATTCTAAGAAAAGATGACAACTCCCTATCAAAGAACATCTTGAGGAATAACCCAGAAGGTAGAAGACCCCTTGGAAGACCGAAACTTAGATGGTTCGACCAAGTGGAGAAAGACCTGAGGGAGAAGGAAGGAAGATGCAATAAGCAGAGACCTATTTGGGGAGGCCAAGTCTAGGGTACCAGTGGTCACAGCAGTACTGTAAGTAAGTAAGTAGTAAGATAATGCTGTAACCCCTAGGTCTAGCCTGAAGTAATGTGGAAACCAATTCCGAGCTCGTGCCTAGCGTCCTAGAACAAAAAAAAAAATGCCGTGGACAATTAGCGGTGGAAGGGCACAAAAACCTTCCCAACGGTTGCAAAGATTTACTATGACAGGAAGTCACAAACTGTGTAGTTTCCACTTTCTGAAAGCTGATGTTTTCTTGAGTTATCCAGCACATCTTAAGTAAATTGTGAAATGCTGTATTGGTTAGGCCTTTGTCAATTTACCGAGAGTGACAAATTTAAAAACCTGGATAACTGTTATGTGTGGTTTTTACACAAAGAATGTCCAAGGCCTACATGCCCTATGCATTCACCATCTATCAAACAGCTAAGTTAACATGTTCTATCCCAATGTTGATTGTTCTGATTATTCTAATGGTCTTTAAAAGAATGAGTTGCAAACTATCAACTAACTTTACCTCATCCAAGTAGGGCCATACTCCTGTCAAAACTACACTGAAGCCTAAGGCCATTAGGAACATGGTGAAGTACATAGTTCGTATTGAGTTCCATCTCTGTTTGTACTCATCTTCTGTCTCCAGCAGTTTGATGTTGGTTGCATTTCCCTCGCTGCAAAAATACATATGTACTGACGATTTTTTAAGTAGGCTTCCTAGGCTAAAGATAAATCTAGCTTACACAGTTTTTTTAACGTAAAAGAATGGTTTGTTGGGAATATGTCTAAATAGCAGTTAAAACCGAACAGATAACAGACATGGTGGGTCAGAACAGTTTCTTATCTCAGTTACCATAGGCCTATTATCGAGCGAAAATATCAAAACTATCGAATGAAAATATCATTAAACTTAATCGATTGTGTATATTGATTAGGCTACTCAAAATAATTGACAAACATAATAGGCCTAATAAAATCAGATTTGAACCCAAAAATTGGATTTTCAAAAAAAGTATTTTCTAAAGCGTTCTTACATCATGTACCCTACCCCATTAACCTTTACTTTGCATCAAAATTTGAACAAATACTCTAGTGTTTAGTGTTTTTGTTTTGTTCCACACACCACAATTTGGGTTAATAGGTAAGTAGGATTCTTACTAAATTTAAATTTTTTTTGTAAGTAGGATTAAGTTTTCTTTGCCTTGAAGAAAACTAGGTTAACACATTTTTTATTGAACTGAACACATTTTTATAGAAATAGGTACAAAATCAGAATAACATTTCACTTCAATTTTTGTTTAGGCCCTAGGCTACTTTAATTAAATGTAACATAAATAAAACAATTTAAAATTAATGTTTAAAAACATTTGTTTGTGAAATATCCAATGGAAGTTTAATTAAGTGTTTGTTAAAACTTCCATTATTTTCAATCAATTGTATGGTAGCCCAGTCCATATAAGAAACTAGGTTATGTACCAGAGGCTAGTGACTGTTCTTTATGTACATGTTGTTGCAGATTGTGCGTTTTGACAAATTGTATTGAATTGTAATGATAAAGGACAGTAAATACTCCTACTCTTTGATTAAAGCCTGGTACATTATTTAAATACCCAACACACCGGATACAAAATTGATGCCATTAGGCTATTGGTGAGACCTGATTAGTTGTGACCTCAACAATTAATCCTGGATCTAGAGTTAAAGAGCCTTTTAAAAAATGTATGGTGCTAGTCTTACATTCATGGGCAGGTTATCATAATAATTTAATGCTCTAGATTTGCAGAGTATGATAGTTTAATTTTATAATAGATATATTTTAAAATATCGATTAATAATCAATAGGCCTATTTTCAATTCGATAGTTTCAATCAATGTTAGCGTAGCCCAGTTAAGAAACTGTACCCTTGCAGAGTTGGTTCAAATTAGGTACTTCAGTACTATGTTTACTTAAATATGTTAAATAACCTGGAAACGTACCTGTTTAACTCATGTTTTTCACTTTCCATTTTGAGTAACAATAACCAATAATCTACCACTACTTCAAACCACCATACAACGGTGATCCCAGGCCCAGTTTACATTTATTTAAGGTTATCATTTGTTAAACAAAATAGAACAATACAAATTAATGCAAACTAAGGCAAACAGACGATTGGAATTTGAACTTGACAGTCAGGCCGAGTCACTCACAGTCAAAACAAAATCATATGTTCAAAGTTCAGAATGAATCAGCTGTCATCAGTTGTACCAACGCAAACCAGAAAAGCTAAAATATATCTCTGCAATAGTATAGTGTTTTGTAATATTAATGCTTGAGGGAATACATCAAGAATCAAGAATGTTTATTCATCGTTAAAACACATGCAATGGATGAACGTCATAATAGTTTTGGATTTTGAGGGTAGAGATTAACTTCTTATTCTCAATAGACTAACTCTGTGTTGATATTTTTGTTAGTCCAACGGTCCAACTAAACTGTTCAAGACAAAAACGTCATATTACAGTATAACTCAACTAAGATTTTTTTATTCAATTGCTAAAACTTCAAAACGACCATGATATCTTCTTCATGTGCGTAACATGCTACACTGTGACATCTGTAACGGGAACGGGTCCAGTTTTTGCAAGGCTCACGGGACGCCCCGTGCCGTGACGCAGAGGGAGAAACACACTCTCCATCTCTCTCAAAACTCCCTTTTGCCGCGCTCGCTAGAACTTGTCAGGTCCACGATGGTCTTGGTCTTGTTCGGAGAAATGTTCGGATTGAAATTTTCCTTACATTTACCTCCCTTCTACCTGCTCGGTACAGGGTCTTGGTCGGAGAAAATATCGATAATGTGTAATGTGTGGCCTTTAGTGTAGTGTAACTAGTATCTATAAGTCAAGGATTTTAAGGAAATAACACGAATAAAGAAAATTTGTTTGATAGCACGTGAATTTGGAATTTGTCAGGAGTATGTTTGTAAATGGTTGTAACTGTCACTGTCAGTATACCAGTTTGTAGCCTGGGGCCTGAGCCTGCGTTGTAGCTCATTTTCTGATAATTTAACTTGATTACCTGGGGCCCATTTCATAATAAAATACAAACTAATATTATTAGTAAATCAGCTGATCGCCCAATGCAAATCTTATGGAAATTACAAGTTACAAGTTGTAACTTGTAACTTGTAGTTTATTATGAAATGGGCCCCTGATAGTGATTATTCTCTATTTGCATGTTTCATTTTATATGAAATTTGTTGGTTAGGTCATTGTTACCAAAGAGCATATTTATTACTGTTACACACTACATATTTTATTGCATCACTGGCTTGGTTATTGTTATCTAAGAGTTGTTATTTATTATTTGTTACTCACTGTTGTTATTTATTAATTATTGTTACTCACTGTTGTTATTTATTATTTGTTACTCACTGTTATTAATTTTTCATTGTTAGTTGTTATTTATTCTGAGAATATTTATTTATTGTTACTTTATTGCACTCAATCTTTGTCACTTTTTATTTATTTAGAGTATTAACATAATTGAACAGCCGTCCATGTATTCACTCTTGATCAGTTTATTTGTTACTGTTAAGCATGCACAACAATGTATTTAACTGTATTGGTTGTAACCGTTAAATGAATAAATAAATAAATAAATAAATAGATACGGTAACATTGGAGACGAATACCCCTCTCTGACATAGCTATTGTAACACTTAGTAGGGAATCCAGGATGTTATGATAAGAAAATAAGAGATTTGGATTGAATTCTAGATGGTTTATCTGTGATGGAAACGGAAAGACCTTACATATTGACCACGGGAATTGACGAAGTAGGTACATGAACGAACATACCTATTTCTCTGATATTTAGAATCTAAAAGGCCCCCGGCGGCTAACACCAGGGTGGCGTGGCTGTAACTAAGGGTGTTCAGAAATAACGTGGCACTGCTCAATTTCTCCAACTCCTGTGAGCTCGACCCTTTTTATTCGATGATCCTGGCAAATATACCTAGGAGACTATGATAAATTATTCTTTTTGGAACATAGAATAATTTAGGCGGTTTGAGGGGAAGTTCTCCCACTACTGTTAATGTGTAATGTTGCAGCTGATTGACGTTTTGGCAAAACTCAGCTGTTGCCCCATTGTTTTAAAGGTATGATTAAGTGGAGGAGATAGATTTCTTCCCCTAAAACCGCCTAAATTCTGTGAACGGAGTATAGTTTGAAAAAATATAATTTTCTATAGAATAATTAGTCCAAAGGCTTCTGCGATATGGCAGCAAAATTTTGAACGAAAAAAGAAAATGAACAAAATCGTCCTCTGTCACAGCAAAATCATGAGTGTTGCTTTGCTCCATAGTGTAATCGTGGACATCTTTCGCTATTGCGGCGGAATTATGAACATCTCCAGTTGTCGCAAAGACTTCATTGTCGTCTTCAGCGATAGTGGCAAAATTTTGATTTTAAGATCACGCAATCCTCGCAGATACTTATGAACGGCTGTATTGCCCTACCAGGTTACTGATAAAATCTTTTTAATTTCATCAGAGAAAACATTTCCTTTGAAACCTTAAGCATTCCTCAAGTGAGGCCATCATCAACTGCCACTAGGGCCCTGGTTTTGAGAAAGTATTCTTTAATCGAATCTGGATGTTTGCTGCAGAAGAATATTTAGGGATTGGCCACAGAACAGGAAAGAAAAGAATCTGCAATTGAATAATGTTCTTCCAAGAAAAAAATCTCAAGATTGCAGATGATTTTTAGCAGGATCTATCATATTCAAGTTGAAAGAGCTTGTGTCCATGCATGTCATCTTTTATTTACCAACCCCTTCATTAACCATGGGTGGTCGAGGTACAAATGCCTTTTAACAATTCCCTTTTACCTTTTTGTTTTGTCCTCTGGTCTTGGTGTGGGCAGGTCTAGCACTACCCAAAAACTGTTGTAGACAATGAAAACTGCCAAGGAAAGGATGTAGTGTGAACATTATTTCACAGATTTTGATTCAAAAAAATGTGTTGTGTTAAATGAACTCAAGACAAATTGTGATAGTTTTGAAACCCACAAAAATTCAGATCCTAAAAATAATAATCGGTAACGAGGGCGACTAAAATTGTTGTCAAAAAGTGGGTGGAAGAGAAAAATCATGTTTAGGAAAGCTTTAAGCGTTAGGAGGGCTTTTTCTTTTGGATACCCGGTAATAAAATTAATTAAAATTAATAAAATTATGTTTAGGTTTAGGGTTAATTGACGAGTTAGGAGATAATAATGTACCACATTATATTTTACTAACAAAAGATTTCTTGTATCTTGTATAACTGCTTAGGGGTGCCTTCACTAGCATAATTCATTAATTTATAAAGCAAGAAACATTATTCTCATACATTTTTCATATTTTGTAGGCCTACTATAATTGCTTGCTTTTAGTTGTAATTTTTAAACATTTCATTAAATTAATTCCATATTAGGATTACTGAGATTGTTATGAATAAATTTAGATTAAATATATAACACACTTGAAATTGGGAATAAATAAAGGCTATACAGTTTTTAAAATAATTATATTATTACAAGGTATAGGGTCTAGAATTATATTCAAAATGTTACAAACAACTTGGTAATTATCTACAGTCCTAAACATTAAAATTCAATAAATATACTCTAGGCTACACGTTGAACCTTTCTAAAGATTAATTAGCTAACTCTAATCACAGGAAGAAAGTGTTTAAGAGGTAAAATTGCGGAAGTCAGTCTTCAGCTTAATCGTTGGAGTGGTAATGTTGGTTTTCTGCGTGGCAGTTCGTTGAGTGGTCTGCGACTGTTTCTGTGTTTGACTATTGCGTATTGCAGTTTCAAGTCTTGTACGAAGGTTGGCCGACTGTGCCATGATAGACTTGAACTCCTAAAACAGTTTTATAGTGCTGTATCGCCTCCAGATTCCATATTACCAATAATACACACCAAATACAAATTATGAAAATACAGAAAAATACTAAAAATAAAAAAAGCTAAAAGCTGAGGTTTTTTAATTACTGTACAACTATTTTCATAAATTATAGGAATATTCTTAGGCAAACTGACTAAAAATTTAGTAACAATAAAATTATTAGGTCTATCCTATTCTCTTTCGAAAATATTATATTATTAAGTAAAACTTGGCTGTATTTTCCAAGCTTTATTTTTTTCTGTATTTTATGCTGTTTGAATTTTTTACGTTTTTGTGAGGAACGGTCCAAACCCTGGTCAATGAACCATCCAACATTGACCGTTTGTTAGAGAGCCTCATTGGTTGATAACCCAACAATAAATGTAATTATGATAACCCATCATAATTACTAAGCTACCCAATCATAATATAAATTTGTACTATTTGTGTGAAGATTTAAATTTAAATTTCATATTTTGAGTTGTTTTGTCTCTGGATCACAGAACAAACTATAAAAGGTATAAAATTACCTGAGTACTGCCAGAGTGATCCTGTTTGTTCCTTACGGATAACGCGTTTTGAAGACTAAGTCTTCATCATCAGATCTTGTACAAAAACATTAAAACACTGTCACTTCGAACAGGTCGTCAAGAGTTTACATACAAAACACGGAAACATATTATGTACAAACGTGGATGTTTTACGAATAAAAACGAGTAGGCCTACCGACGAAAACTTACAATGTCCGACCGCACAGTTACAGGTGAAGGTCATTGATTATCCACGTTTGTACATAATATGTTTCCGTGATGATGACTTAGTCTTCGAAACGCGTTATCCGTAAGGAACAAACAGGATCACTCTGGCAGTACTCAGGTAATTTTATACCTTTTATAGTTAAATTTAAAGCTTGTGTAGCCGTGGGCCGTTTGAAATGGAACTAATTTGTTGATTACTGATTGATTGACTGAGGTGTAAAACTAAATTAAGCGTGCTGATTCTGCTACCGTACCAAATTAATTAATGAAAGACGTGTTGGGGACCAGAGGACGGAGATCTTTTACCCAGACCGGAAGCTTGCATAGCCAGCTTTGATTTATGCTAATACAACTAATTTACTAAAAAACTATCCTTCCAAAACTTGTGACCTAGAAAATGACTGTTAATGAAATGATTGACTGGTTATTGAACTACTTAAATAGGAAATGCCAAACAATTTAATTAAAAGAACTATGGAAACTTCTGGGGAAAACGTGTTGCCCTAATCCTGTTGCAGATGGTCCGAGGCTGAAAGCCTCGAACCGTAATTGTTAATTCCTACATTTTTCCTATGTCGGGGCGACCCTTGTAGGTATCCCCCTTGTTTGCTAACTAGCCTGACATATTAATCTATATATATTGTACACAATTAATCTAAGGACTTATCCATTTAGTAGGTTTTCCTGGGGAACACTTCTTCTGTGAGAGTTCTTGATCGTGGGTGCCGGTGAAGTGGGGAGAAGGTAGAAGGTTGGGAAAGGTCGGTGGGAAGAAGGTTGGGGAAGGTCGGTGGGGGAAGCCGTTCGCTTGCTCGCGGTGGGCTGACGAGTTCGCCATGCAGCCCTGCCACACGAAGCGCTGACACTATAAGAAATAAAGCGTGCCGCTATGCGTCACACTTGTGACATTGTTTTAAATACAGGATATTGTTTTATAAAGCAATTCAAAACATATTTTGAGTTTCTGCAACGTGTTATAGCCATGATACCTATAGGCAAATGTGGTTTTGAACGTTTGACTGGTTTAAAATACTAAATATAACGACTGTAATCCTATTTATAAAGTTCTATAAGGTAGTTTAATCACCTGGGGGTATTGAGGGCCGATCTGTTTCAGCATCTGCAGACAATGTTCATGTAGGGTCCACAAATGTTTGTTGGCTGATGGAGTTTCTAGCAGGTAATCCACCAAGATTGGCACCAATAAACTCAACATCTGGATCCCTACATTGCATAAGTTAAAAAATTGTTGAAAAATAACAATTCTCAAATAGTTTTACAATTTGAAATAGAGAGTGCAGCATGTATTACTAAATAATAATGTGCACCTAAAAGTCCCAAGTTTGAAAAAAGCCGAGCTATAAAAAAAAGTGTAAAAAATTAACACTGAGAGACAGAGACATAATATAGATTTTCTAGGAAAAAAGGAATACACAGAAGATGAAGGAATGGATGCACAAATAACTTACCTAAGAAATATATAATAAACAGTTTGATAAAAATGACCTGTGGTTCTGTTTGGTATTCAAAGGTTTTAACAATGGCTGATTTTATTTTCAGTATTCTGGATACCAATTATGTTTAAAAAATACAAAAAGATTATTTTGTAAATATATGAATAGTAAAATTACGAATACATGTTAAAGAAATTCAACTCTAAAAAGGGTGGAAAGCATTTCATGCACTTTCATAAAACTCAATTCTTTGGAATACAAAAAAAAATATTTTTTTTTCTAGTGTGTGTTGCTTGAGAGCCATTGCAAAATTATCCAACAAAAAAACAGCAAACACACTTTCATTATGTGTTTGCTGTAAATAAACCAACACAAAATTTACACAATAAATGCAACATTCAAATACACAGAGAGCAAATTAATGTGATTCACAAATAAAAATCTTAAATAAATGAAAGTGAAACAAATCCAAAGAGCAAAGTGGACAAAACGGATACAAAATATGAAGGATTGGACTACTTGCCTTGCAGCATATCCTCTAGAAAGCAAAACAGAGGGCTAAGGAGTTATTCTCATATAATACACAGCTGTTAAGAACATTGCATTATGGGCGAGACTCTGGTTTTTTGCAGGATTAAAGTGGGATGAACACTGTACATTGGTGAGGTGTGGTTGAGTCACTAATGGATGTGAAAATAATCACTACTGCCATTGACTTTAGATGGTGAGATCAGCTGTCCAACAATATCTAGTTTTGTTTGTAATATTTAAATGAGCCAATTGTAGGATTATAATATAAAGTTCTATTTTTCTCCTTTAGTTTATCATAGGTTTATCATAGTTTATCACTGGTAAGGATCGTAAAAAATCGTTGGAATACAAGAGAGGAACAACAATTTATGACTGCACAAACTGTTTGTGGCTCACACAAACATTACTCTTAGTGTTTTTTTTTTTTTTTTGTTCTAAAACTGGTGACAAAATGTAACATGAGTATAGAAGTCCACTTTGTGGAAATGTATAACAGTAATAACTACTGATAAGAGATATGAGGTCTGTTCAAAATGTCTCCGACCTTTCTTTATCTAGTAATCCAACTGCATTTAGCTGCACCCTGGCACGTAGATCGAGGCAACTGTAAAACACGTTACGTGATCTTGATATGGCGTGAGTTCGTTGTCAGCCGCCAAACGTGAAACTGTGTACGTTGTGTTTGTCGAGTTTTGTGCCAAGCAAAATTACGGAACGGGTGGATCACCGATACTGCATTAAATTTTGCCAGAATCTGGGTGATACCCAACTCAAACGATTCTTAAGATTCAGCACGTCTTTGTAGATGACGCTATGGGTGTAACACAGATAAAAGAGTGGTACAACAGATTCAATTATGGCCGCATTTCGGTGATAACCAACTCAAATGATTCTTAAGATTCAGCATGCCTTTGGAGATGACGCTATGGGTGTAACACAGATAAAAGAGTGGTACAACAGATTCAATTATGGCCGCATTTCGGTGATAACCAACTCAAATGATTCTTAAGATTCAGCATGCCTTTGGAGATGACGCTATGGGTGTAACACAGATAAAAGAGTGGTACAACAGATTCAATTATGGCCGCATTTCGGTGATACCCAACTCAAATGATTCTTAAGATTCAGCATGCCTTTGGAGATGACGCTATGGGTGTAACACTGATAAAAGAGTGGTACAACAGATTCAATTATGGCCGCATTTCGGTGATACCCAACTCAACGATTCTTAAGATTCAGCATGCCTTTGGAGATGACAGTATGGGTGTAACACAGATAAAAGAGTGGTACAACAGATTCAATTATGGCCGCATTTCGGTGATACCCAACTCAAACGATTCTTAAGATTCAGCATGCCTTTGGAGATGACGCTATGGGTGTAACACAGATAAAAGAGTGGTACAACAGATTCAATTATGGCCGCATTTCGGTGATACCCAACTCAAACGATTCTTAAGATTCAGCATGCCTTTGGAGATGACGCTATGGGTGTAACACAGATAATAGAGTACAACAGATTCAATTATGGCCGCATTTCGGTGATACCCAACTCAACGATTCTTAAGATTCAGCATGCCTTTGGAGATGACGCTATGGGTGTAACACAGATAAAAGAGTACAACAGATTCAATTATGGCTGCATTTTGGTGGGCAGTGAACCTCGTTCTTGGAAACCATCAACAAGTGGAAACGATGAAGTTATTAATCAAGTTCGAGTTTCGAGGATCGATGTAATACTGTTCGTGAACTAGCTACGGAAGTTGGAATCAGCATTGGTTCAGTTAATTTTTACAGAAGATTTGGCTATGCGCAGAGTTGCTACAAAATTTGTCCTAAAGAACTTTACATGAACAAAAAACCTTGCGGCTTGAAGTAGCTCAAGATATGCTGGAATGCATTCAGAATGCTTCGCCAGTACCCCAACTCACCGGATATGGCACCGTGTGAGTTTGGCTGTTCCATACCTTGAAGACACTGCTTAAAGGGACCTGATTTCAGAGCAGAAATAGGATAATGTTACAGCTCGTCACAAGTCCATTAAGAAGGAAGAGTTCCAGGCTTGTTTCCAAAAGTGGCAGGAGCACTGGGATAAGTGTGTGACTATTTTGAACAAAATCACATGTTAAAATAAATTGATCAATAAATTATGCTTTTCCTGAACAAGGTTGGATACTTTTTGAACAGACCTTGTATAATTCACAAATTTGACAAAATATAACAAGTTTAAACAATAAATATATGTAATATAACTAAGTCTTAGTAAATCACATTTAAGCTGCTTTGGAAAATTCCAGCTGTGGAATAAAAAAGCTTATTGTTATAAGTATAAGTTGTAATTCACCAAAATATAACTCTATCTTTCTTCCATTTCTTTTTCTAACAAATTTCTTCTTCAAAAGTCGAAGAATTTAATCTAACAAATAAAGTAAACTCAAATACACATTTTGTCAACAGAAAGCCTTAAAAGAGATCTACAGACCTAAACTATATACATTATTTCCAAAGCATTTGTACAAAAACACTCAATGTGTAATAATCTATATGTCTAATTATTGTCTATAATAAACTGCCTGATTACATAAAGAAAGAAAATATTTTTTTCAAATTTAAAAAAAACATTTGAAGCACCACTTGTTGTCACTATCTCTATACTCTTTATAAGAATATATGTTAAATTAGTGTTTTATTTCTATTAGACTTGATTTCTTTATGTTAAGTTTTAGATATAGTTTTTGACGCCATTCCAATATGAAATAAAGACGATTTGATTTGATTTGAATCAAACATGACGTTTAAGGTGGTTCACTTAGATGGATTTTTTAAAGTTTGTCTTAAAAAAAAGGATAGAGTTCAGTTAGACCACATGAGCAAAGTAGATTTTATTGGAATACAGACACAGAAGAAAATAACTAACCACTTCTAGAGTTGGGGTTTTCAATAAACAAATATGTTTGTACATTTTTACACTACATTTTTGTACATTGCCAAATCAAATGTTTGTGTGTTTGCTTGTGCAGTATTGATGCACTTTAGCAAGATCCACTATGTTAGGACATTTTCTACACTACTTTACTGTATGTTATTTGAGGGATTATTGTTAACCTTTTTTATTACGATTAGGCCTACTAAAAGTAAGTTGTCCCAACAATTTGGGATCTGAAAACTGATCAGTACACAATACACATGGCTACACAAGATGTAGGTTCATTCTTCCTTGAGTTATATTTTTGTGACAATTTGTTCATGGTTTTACTTTAAACTGTATTTGTACGGTTTTTGTTAATTCTTTTGGACTAACTTTCACATTCTAAGAAGGATTTCCAGCCCAGAATCGATCTACATATTACTTCAGTTTCAGGCTATGCTTAGAGGGTCACAGCATTATAACATGGATAAAATCCATTGGTGATTGGTGGGATTTGAACCCGGGACCTTTTAGAAGCAGATTTTCTGCTGTGAAAACCTTATTTTACTAATCATAATAAAAAATTTCCACGATTCATCCTCAAATAACACATCATCATGAAGAATATACTCTAAATAAAGGATGACTGAGCGATATCAACGTGAACTGTCACAGTGTGTTGTATACTTACGGTGTTGCGGCTCTGCCAAACGCACCAGCGCCTCCACTACACCGAGACTCTCCAAGGTAAGCACCAGGTCAAGGTCGGTGGTCACACGCCGAGCCTGCTCACCATGCAGATACTGCAGCACCTTGGGCGCCAGAGCATGGATGAACCCCGCAGAGACGTTAGCTGCAGAGTGACCTAGTATGCTGCGGAAAGTCTGCATGCACTTGATCTGGACCTGGAAGAATGGATAAGTTGCAAGGTGGTATCTTTGATTACTGATGGAACTAACATTTCATTTGAATATTAAAGCTGAAACCAATTTTTGAACAAGTGAACATAGTTGAGTTGAGCTACCGAAAAGATGCTCTGATTTTTGCCTTGACTGTAAAAGGTTTTTATGAATTTGCCGTGACTGAGAAATATGCTTACAACTTTGCTGTAACCACAGAATATGTTTTTGGTCGTAACATATTTGTGTATAATGTTCATGATTTCACCATGATCACGGAAGGTGTTCAATATTTATCCATAACCGCAGAAAACGTTTATTTTGCTGTGACCGCAGTGACGCTCACATCACAGAAGATATTCCAGTTGTCTTTGTGATCACAGATGTTCACAATTTTGCTATTACCATGGAAGACAATGACAATTTCACATTGTTTGAGGACGAAGTTTAAGATTTTATCAAGACTGTGGTAGACGTTCACTGTCTAACCAAGACTGCAGAAGATGTTCTAGTTTTCAGCATGACCTCGGTAGATGTTTATGATTTCACCATGACTGGGGAAGATTTAGATAATTTCTTAGAGACCACAAAGTTGTTAGTGATTTGGACGTGATTGTAGGAGTTCACAATTTCATCCTCCATATCAGGATGATCATGTTGTTGTATAAACTGATTGTGTGACAATAAATCTTATTTTTAAAATCAATACTTTTATAGCAACCAGATTTTAGCCCGACCCCATTTTTGCCTTAGACAAGACTCAAGGATCAACATGACCTAACCTGACCCAACTTGAAGTAAAAAAGTCTGGCATGCAGGCTCCTTATATCCAATAAAAAATCATTTGTTGGTTGGATTACGCACCTGGATGTTTGAACTTTGAGCACACTGAGTCATATGGTTGATACAAGGGTATCTCAGATTGGGGGCCAACACCACCTCTGGCGGGGCATGTAGTACAAACACTGACACTGCCATCAACATGGCCACCTCATCCTGCTTGGTCTCCTCACACCCTGTACATACACAAGTATAGTGAACAAAGGCATCAAAGAAATTCCTCAAACAGCTTTTTAAAATCAAACATACCTGATTTAGTGTGAACTTGTTCAAATGATTAAACTATCTTTTGCTCGAAATTATGGACTAAATTATCAAAATGTTCAAACTATCATTATCTTATTGCACCAACCTGTCTTGGTGAGGTCGATGATCTTAGCCAGTGCGCTCTGCAACAGACTCTTCCACTGGTTGGAGGAGCGCTCATCTCGGCAGTACTTGTCTGTACACAGCACCATGAGACAGTGCAGCACTGCCTTGAGTACCGGGCTGGCGCTCAACACTGTAGAGTCACTGGCGCTCTTGGTCGAACACTCCTTCAGCACACCGGTGGTCAGGTACAGCAGGGTCGGCAGAATAGACACAGCACCTGGACCATCCAGCATTGTGGTTAAACTATACTGTGGAAAACTACACCAAGGACTCAATTGTCCATGATCACTTGGGCTTTAAATAAATGGTCCAAGCTGAAGAATCACTTTATTTTAATCATCTTCGCCTCAACATACGCCTCGCATACGTGTTCGTTATTTGAGTTGATGCATTCAAAAGTGACGAGACATCCAGTTCTGAGCCTGAAGATGACTATTTTAGTTGACAAAACTAGTTGCTCTAGCTAAGCATTCTGGATTGCAAAAATGCAGGTGTATACAACAATTTTTTAGTGTTATTTTTACTTTGAATGCTAGAGAGTAAACTCATTTTTCAACTGAAATTTGGCTAGTCAAAATTAACTTTCTACTGTTAATGAAGAGCGGTCCAACTATATATCTATGTTATGCAGCTAAAAACTTATAAAAATTTTAGATTGGCGGAATCATACTTTTAGTTTGGGACTGGGCCAAAAGGGAACCTTATTTTTTTTATTAAGGATATCTCCCGCTATTGCAGAGACAATGTAAACATTACATGCGATCGCGATGCCATCATGACATGTTCCCATATTACAGATACATCATCATCAACTCTGCGTTCACAGCACCATCGTGAATGTGTCCTGCAATCACAGCAAAATCGTACACCTCTCTCACTCCAGAGCAAAACCATCGATAACATGTTCCGCAACTGCAAAGACGTAATCATGGTCACTGGTGACATGAAAAATCGCTGACAGTTAAAAATAATTTTTGCTCGAGTTATCGCGCTAACGGACATATATATATATATTATTTTCTTGCATGTTATTCATAGATCTACAGGGTGTTTTTTTAAAAACTTGCATCTTTATTTATGTAAAAACCGCAATAGATAGAAATATGCAGTTTGCGGGAATCATCTATTGACGTAGGGGGACCAAGTGTTTTGAATTCAACGTTACATTCACATTCCCCCCCTTTCCCCCCTGCCCCCAACTTAATTTGTTTAAATAGCAAAGTACCCCTTGTGACATATCAAATAAAAGAGCATGAAAAAAGAAAATTTTTGATGAAAAAAAATTGAAAATCGGTTCGTAAATTTGTGAGATATTTCCCCCCTCACCCCCCCGGAACTTAATTTTTTTTTAATAGCAAAGTACCCCTTGTGACATATCAAATAAAAGAGCATGAAAAAAGATAAATTTTGGCGAAATTTATTTTTCATTTGATATGTCACAAGGGCGGGTACCTTGCTATTAAAAAACAAGTTATGGGTAGGGGAAAAGGGGGGTGATTATCTCACAAATTCATGAGCCGATTTTAAATTTTTTTTCACCAAAAATTTTCTTTTTTCATGCTCTTTCATTTGATATGTCACAAGGGGTACTTTGCTATTAAAAAAAAATTAAGTTCCGGGGGGGTGAGGGGGGGAATATCTCACAAATTTATGAACCGATTTTCAATTTTTTTTCATCAAACATTTTATTTTTTTATGCTCTTTTATTTGATATGTCACAAGGGGTACCTTGCTATTTAAAAAAAATTAGTTGGTGGCAGGGGGGGAAAGGGGGGGAATGTGAATGTAACGATGAATTCAAAACAATTGGTCCCCCTACGTCAATAGATGATTCCCGCAAACTGCATATTTCTATCTATTGCGGTTTTTACATAAATAAAGATGCAAGTTTTTAAAAAAACACCCTGTATATATAAATTTTGAACAGATGGTGTTTTTGGCCTCTAGGGACCTCAAAACAAAAAATAAAATCGGTCCTGGGTCCAGGTCTTACCATGAGTACTACGGTAATAGCTTATACCCTATATGGGAAATTCGCTAAAAACCTGCAATAATGTAAATCCGTCCCAAAGATTAGAAATATACATTTGCTAAAATTCCAGGACAGGTCCTTCCTTACAAAAAAATCAATTTTAATAAAAAAATATACCTTGTGGTGAGCACAGCCGAGGCAGCTGCTCCAGCACGGCAAGTGTGTTAGCCACAAGCAGAGGAGAGTGGTGACGAGGTCGTGACGTGTTGATATGTGGAGGAGTCGGGCTCAGTCCAGAGTACTGTCCTACCAGCGCACACAGACAAACCTCTAGAGCAGCAAACACCAGGGAACTCTCGGTAGGTAGCTCTCCCAACACACCTCCCTCACCTAGCAAGTCCACCTCCTGCTGGGCCAGAGACTCCTGGTTGGCTGGCACCATCTCTGTAAGGTCAGAGGTCACTGAGACGAGCGTACACTATTTTAGGGGATGAAGGCTGCTTTATAATCACCCAGTGATTCTCAGAACTTGTTGTGCTTATAACTGCTGTTTAAACTGCATAGACTGGTAGGAAGAATGATCACTACTTACCTATCTGAGATAATAATTCTATTTAGATAGCTTACTGAAACATAAAATGCACCAATTGATAACACACTTGAACCCTTTTCTTTAAGTTAATTGTGCATTCATTACTTATTCTTCATGCATTCCTCGGTCAAGTGCTCTTCCTTCAAAATATACACTGATAAATTGTAAACTTCCATCTTGTTTATAGGAATAAATAATTCTAATATTTGTATAATTTTTTCCCCAAAGGCAGTTTACATAATTTGTCATCCATATGAGGTAGGAGACAATGGCTTTTCCCTTGTTGACTATTACAGTTCTCTCCTAAGCCTAGCGATATAAACAAGGCCCAGACCGTGCACTCCTGTGAACTATAACTTTTCACACACATACCTCTAAGTGTTTTCTTCTTGTTCTTATCCAGATAGTCCTGCGCTGCATTAAGCACCTGCTTCAGCACTTCTATCACCAACAGCTGATTCTCGGGACTGTCAGTTGTGATCAGCAGTTGTCTGCAACACGATGGCAATTTTGTTAAAGAAAAAAAACTAAACATCTGAATTCTCTTTTAAATTCAAACCTTTCTTGGCTGAAAATGATGTCAAAGATAGTGAAATATTAATATAGTTAGTGTAAAAGTTTAGTTTTGTGTTTCTCGGTGGACTCTTTCCAGTACCTACATGAAAGCTATTACTTTCCTAAGAAATTCTTAAAGCTTATTGCCTTTTTATATTAAGGATCCTCAAAAGAGTAAGCAAAGTTTACCAATTTACACAAAATACAATTGTTACTGTATTCGGCCTTGGCCTATATGTATTGGTATGATAGAAAAACTTTACAACCATAGAAAATTGTATATTCTTGAACAAACTCGATTAACATGACTCAAAGGAACAAAATATGTGGAAACGGAAAAATTGTATAAGCATTTAGGCAAAAAAGCAACAAGGATGTAACATAGAGCACAAGGGCCTAGATTTTTAGGATATTTTATGAGCAGGCTTACCTGAATGGGAAAGAGTCCAAAATTGCTAGTTTAGGCTCTTTTTCATTCAGTAAGCTTAATATTCTCACAAAAAATCTGAATGAACAATGGTCAGTTGAAAATCCAACATTCTTAACATGATTTTTGTTTAGGAACCAATTGCTTTTCCACTTAAAACAAACCTGAACGTTTTCCGTTGATACATCCTCTCTCATAGACAACGTTGCAAACTTACCACATAAATACTGATTACCCAAATTAATAACTCTGCAGTAAACTAATATACCTATGCAAGACGTTGCAGAGTTCGATAGAGAGTGATTTTGATTCCATCAGCATTCTACACGGCTCCTGTCCCTCAAACAGTGTGTAAAGGGCCTTCAAGCAAATCACAGTGTTTTCTGAAGGCTCGGACAACCTTGGACTACATAGAGCTTCCATGCAGATACCTGCGGCGAAATAGTAGCTAGTTAGAACACAAAAAAGCTAAAGTGTACTTTAAACACAAACAATTGACTATTATTTACAATTGGTTATGTCAATTCTCAGTTTCGGTGTTTTGTTAAAGAACGGCAAACCAACAATGGACTTAAATAACCGATCCATTCCTACTTCAGATCTAATGTTAATATCACTGACAATACTGGTAAACCCAAACACATTAGTTTCTTGAAACTTAGCTTCCACATTGCGGCACGTATCAGGTAGAGCTTTCAACAAGTGTTCCTATAAGAGGAATTTTTATCCCGAGAAGGGGATTTTTAGTCTTTAAGCACCTTAAAAACGGAGTGCGAGATAAAATGGGATTTTGGACTCGAACACATAAATTTCTTTTTTATCCTGCTTTTAAGATAAAAACTAACCCTAATTGATTAAATTATACTAGAGCAGAATTATTGAAAGGTTTGATAAGCTATTAAAACATTTACGTCAAAAAGATCACTCAGGATAGAATGATTAAATTCATGTGGGATAAAATTTGATTTTTTAATTGTTTAAAAGAGGGGTGAAACTAACTAGAGGGCTAGCTAGCGGGATTTTTGTTTTGGTCGAGAGGAAACACTGCTTTCAACTGTTTTGAATGAGTACATAGACAGTCGAGAAGTATGTTAGGTTATGTTACGTGTTACATTTGAGGACCAAAATATTGACTTTTTGGGCTTGAGGGATGCTGAAAACTCAATTATTAAGAAATAATATCAGGCTAATTAGTAAGTAAAAGTCCTTGACCAATTTACAATATTTTTAACTTTCTTCTACATAACTGGCAATTTTGTTCAGGAGTAGGCCTACCCCCATGTAACCTCCTCCTCCCAAACAAAACCCATGCACACAAAAAAGTAATTGCTAAGAATATTTACTAAATCTAGGTTTCTAGTTCTGCATGACATTGAAAAAAAAACATATAATAAGTCGTGAAAGCCAACTATTCAAAATTTACAAAAATTATACCAAACAGTAGGTGGAAGCGGTTGCTGGGTGTCTCGGTGTCGTTGTCGATGTGGAAGTCACTAGCGTTGAGCCAGAGTGCTGCGGCGTGCAGTAGCGGGGGCCAGGTGGCTGCGTAGTGGGGGCGACAACTGTCCATCGTGTCTGTGGTGTAAAACGCTCCGCCATCATGGGGCAACTGGCTGGAAAACTCTGCAAGGCAAATGCGGGAATGGATTAAGTTTACACGACCCTGACACATTTGAGTGATAGTTGTTCAGTGAATGAGACAATAGCTTTTACTGACCATCTGTTTCTTTAGTCAAGACCATTTATTAACTTGTGTGTTTGATTTTGGCCTGCTACTAGCTTCCCGTCCATCAGTGGCAAGTTGGTTCAGACATAGTCACATCTTACTCACTCAAATTATTAGTTCGTTAGACAGCTTTTTGTAACAACATAATCTGGGATATTTTCTAGCGATTTAAAGAAATTACTGGACAGCTTGGCATCTCAAAAGCTTGCCAAGAGCTGTTATTGTATTTAAAAAAAAATTGAGATCATGCAATTACAGTGACAGTAGACAACTATTCCTACCAATAATTACAAGCAATAAATACTCAAGATGACAACATACAGTTCAACCTGCGAATTGATTGCAGAATCATGATTGTTTGGCTGTGTGTTCAAAATGTTTCGGAATGGAAAATTATTTTTTTTAGGGAAGAGGAAGCACCAGAGAAGCACCTGAAGTTCAGTGGCAATGTCAGAAGTGGCCATTTTCAAAACAGCGTGAAAAAACTATTACAAGATGCTGCTTAAATGGTAAGTACAAAATCAAGAAGTTAAAAGCGCTGCTATTGTCAAATAAAGCCAGAACAACCTGTGTGCACAGAGATGGTGTTTTCAAGCACAAACTGAATAATCAGGAGGTAAATCAACCCGCTTTTCAGAAATATGAGGAAGATTTTTAAAACAATTACAGCGTAGAATAACAAATTTGCAATTAAACCAACTCTGAATTAACATATTCATATTACACTGTCATATAAAACAATATCATTGCAATGATCCATGGCCAATGTTTGTGATCATTGCAATAACCTAAAACGGAAAGGTGAAGCAAAAGTGGCAGTGGGAAAGTGCCTTATTCTTCTTTAAAATGTTTGTAATGGTGATCACCCTGATTTTGCTAAACAAATACAACAGTGCTTTTCAGATGACTTTGTTGGAGAAAACAAATTGTTGAAAGCAGCTTCATGCATTCGTTCAGGGTGTTAGGACAAGTATGCAAATTGGTAGCTTATTTCCATAATCTGACGATGATCCCCAATTTTTACTGCAATATTCCACAGGTGATGAATTTATTTTACGATTCAAAAGTTTACCAATACGAGGAGCGGACAAAATCGTTAGTGTCACATAACCATCTTAACACTAGGACAGATTCCAAAACACCCCGTATACCTGGAGGTAATGAGAGTAGCGCATGGTCTTTGAGTGCTGCTAGCCAATGGCGTGACAGACTGACTAGCTCCGGCTGCACCAGAGACAGTAGACTCTCGCCTCGGGACTCTTGGTCACCTTCTTTGCTGGTGTCACTCATGGCTACGATGTACACCTGGCGACATATCATACAAATGTAAAGTACAGCATTATGGAGGGGTAAATGAGTGTAGGGTTAGGAGATCCATATACCTATGGGCTGAGATTATGGTGAAGGGATATTGTTACTATGGTGGGCAAGACACACAAAAGTCCTAGTACATCCGAATATGTAATCAGCAAATGTTCAACTAATATTAAATGTTTTCTCAAGTATGTCTGTTGTGTTCCTTGTTACTTTTATTTAAAACTTCTAACAAACTCCATGAGAAAATTTTTTTTTTAATAGCACATATTCTGACCTGAACATGTGCTTGATTGACAAAATGAAAAAGCTATGGTTGATATAAATTAGAAACTAGCTGGCTCAACAAACGTCGTCCTGTCCTAATGTGGTTTTATGTCAAATGCTCGTACATTTTCAAGATGAGCTCGTTTGCATGGCTCAATCACGTCTTGGTTGATGTTCGTTCGCTACGCTCACTCACCTTTAGCTTGGAGCTCGTTCGCTGCGCTCACTTGCCTTCAGGTTAGCTTGTTCGCTACGCTAACTCGCCTCCAGGTTGAAGTTCGTTCGCTACGCTCACTCACCTTTTGGTTGCAAATTAGCTGTTGTCATCAATAAAAAAATATAATAGTGCTGCACCCTGTTGGTAATCCTTGTAACTTTAATGCTATTGAAAATCATAGAACAGAACCAACCTGTTAAATTGAAACAGCTGTTAAGGTTCATTAATTCCTTTTAAATATGAAAAATCATAAGGTTAACATGGGAAACTCCAGAGCCACTGGGGCGGAGCCCGAAAGCCCAAAAATATAATAGTGCTGTACTCTTTTGGCAAACCTATTAACTTTTTAATGCTATTGAACATCACAGAATCAAATTGTTTAGTTCAACCATTTTTGTCTATGGTTCAACCAGCAGTTAAGATTCTTTAATTCCATTTAAATATGAGTTCTCATGAGGTTAACATGGGAAACTCCAGAGCCACTGGGGCGGAGCCCTTTTGACGGATCTGCACCAAACTTCACACAAACCATCCTTAAATAATGCTTAATAATGCCTGAAAGTTGCATTACAATCTGTGGAGCGGTTTCAGAGTCCATAAAGGACAAACAAACAAACAAACAAACATACAAACATACATTGTATTTTACATATATAGATGATGAAATAGTAGCACAGTTATAGATTGAATAATTCAGAGTGGCAAGCAGGATGGGAATGCACATTACAACCCTTCCCTACAACCAACACTTTTGTCATTTTGTAAACATTACAAAACTTACCCTTAGAACTAAATTAGCATACATGAGAAGGAGAAGAGTGTAGAGGGAAGTTTTCAGTCTCTATCACACGACCCTCCCTAAACGCCATTCTACACCCTCATTAACTTTCTAAACCTTAATCTGTCAACATTCTTGTCACAAATCCGACTACATTACATATTGAAGTTCTCACCTCCGCCCAAGCCTTGAGTATGGAGAGACGTTCCAATGTGGCGAGACTCTCGTTGTATATGTACGGAGAGTCTGAAACTCTCTGTAACTTGGCGAGGGAAGACACTAGTAGCTGGTGGACCCGTCGGAGGTCGTTGAGGTCGCGGGCAACACCGGAAGCAATCCATGCAGAACACACTTGGCACGCTGCGGCAGTCACGTGTGACGGAGTCTCTGGTGAAAACGCAGGTCTCAGAGCGGCCCCAACCTGTGACATTTTGTTATTTCACTAATTCTGTCATTTCACTTCATTTAGGTCTCAAGACACAAACCATCGGAGAGCGGATCAGAGGACACAGGCAACCCTCAATAATTACAGGGGAAACCCAAAGCCATAAATTCAATTCAATTAATTTATTTACGGGAAAAACCATTATACAACAAGTGCCATGGTAAAAGATACAAAGTTATACAATCAGTACAACAACAGTACACACAAGAAACAATATGAGTATAAAACATAATAACGTAGTATAACCATCCACGATGATAAATACCACCAAAGTATTAAATTGTTTAATTAAAGACCATTACAACAGGTTCCTTTTCAGATGGGTCAACTTGCCAATAAATTACATACCCTAGAAATCCTTCAAACTTCAACTTCAACTAACTAACTAACTCCCCATGTTTTAGGTATTCCTTTTCTCAGCTAGCTTGAAAACCTGCCCTTAATGGGTTGATATAGAACAATCCTATTTATTCGGTTCATACAACCAACAGCTGGAATCGATAGACTTATTCTAAAAACTTTTCAATAAAAATTTAAAACTTAACATTTCCCATTGCTCAAAATTACTAGAAATTAAGTATTTCTGTCATTTATTTTAATACTTGGCTCCAAAGATTTTCAATCAACAACTTTGAATTATGCAAGAAATTTCAATTATTTTTGTAAAAAAACAATCACTTGGCTTAGTTCTCAACAGTAAGTTATAGCACTTACTTGTTTATAACATTGTGTTTTATATGTATTTCGTCTTCTCAAACCGAATCCCCCCACTGATTTTTTAATGATTATTATGTGTGTAAGCTGTGTTTTATACTAGGGAAAATAAATTAATTTATGTTTACCTGGGCCTGGAACTGTTCCAAGAGCAAATGTCCGGGAAACTCCGGTTCTGGTACTTTGGCGAACTTGTCGATGATCTGGTGTAGAGTTTGTAGTCCCTCCAGCCTAAGGGGATCACAATCACTGGTGGCTGCCATGAAGGCCATCCTCACGAGGTCTGACAGGTGTAGCACAAGGTAGTCTCCTGGGAACAACATTGTTAATGATGAGAACCATTGATGCTAACTAATTGTACCACGACATGTCATAGGGCGAAGAGAGGTGACCAATTTGGTGTACCAAAGCTACACAAGATTGTCAGTTTGTATGGATGATGGTATGGATTAAATCATCTTCTGCATCTCCTAAATTAAAATAGCTGGATAGCTGATTGTATATAATCAAATCAAAGCTGAGATGAAAACTGGTTCCATCATGGGAAAAGTTAAAAGTTTGTTTGACTGTTTGAAACCAGACACAGCTATTTTGATCACTGGGGATTTTTAATGATACTGAAGAATAATAGCTGAAGAACCAAATGATCTTAGTCATTAACAAAACTATCATCTTATCCATTCTTCTTTCACTCTGCTTGAGGACTCTCCGTACTGCGCGGTGAACAAAAAAAGGAATATGAATGCCAACTTTTTACTTTGGATCAGCAGTCAAATGTATGATCCACTCCTACCAACATTAAAGTAGCATGATCTCACCTCGGCTCTTAGTAAACTGCATCTCCTTGGCAATGGACAGGTCAAAGTGTGCAGGTGTGTTACGGCAAGCCTGACACGCGACCACGATACGTCGCACACATTCCGCAGCGAACACCCTGGTCGGCCAGCGCGGCTGTACAACCAACGTACGAGTACTCGACTCGCCCGTGTGGAACTCTGCATGGTCGTCGTCACCTTCTTCTTCTTCATCTCCCTCTTCTGCGCCTTTCACTGACAGACCGTCTCCCTCACCAATACTGTTGGTGTCTGTGAATAGAAGGTTTTGTTCCATTTAGTAAATATAGATAAAATAGAGTGTGATTTTAAATTGTATGAAAAAAGTTATAATTTGCATATAAACATTGCTATACAAATCAAGACAGTGTTCAAACAACCCTTAGTTTATTTGTGTAAACAATGTCTTTTTCTATTTGGACTACTGAACAAAGCACAGACCAAAATTATAATAATTCCGATGATATTGAGCTTTAATAACACCAGCCAGATTGAACAAACAATGATAGAACCAAGTATTTGCAATATTGAAACATTCGTTGGTATGTTAAGCTTACTCAAGCAATTAGTAATATATTATAAATAATAACAATACAAGTTTATTTCAAAATTTTCCTTCGGACTGAATCATTCATGATGCTCATGAATCTAACCTTGAATGAACATGGACAACAATTTTAAAAATCGATAAAAATATCCATAGGTACACATTATTAATATTATATTACACATTATATTAATACAAGTGTTCCCTGTTATATCCTTTTTCCAGCTGTCCTACTTCACAGTTTTTATGATTGAGGTGTCATTTTAAAGCTCATGATCTAGCCCAGCTACGAATGGTAATTAAAAAGGTAAAGTACTTAGGACTTTGCCTCCCTGACATTTAACTTATCCCTAGAGTCAATTTTAAAGATATAGTTATGCTGGCCAACTTTCTTTACAACAGTTTAAATATGAATTGTAATTTAACAGAGCTGTTGAATGTTGAATGTTTAACCACAGTCAGATTGTAAATAAGAGACTAAACAGTGTGAAAATGTATATTTAATATGCTACTTTTATGACAACTGTGACTTGATTGAGGTAAGTAAACCATGTTGTAGATCTAACAAATTTATTGAAAATTAGTAGTTATCTTCACCTGATAAATGTCCCAAACAAACATAATCTTAAAAGGTACTACTGGGACAAGGTTAAAAGGTGTGCTGGGTATTGCACGGGTTTCATTTTACCTCGGAATCAAGTTTTACACCCTATTGAACTGTGCAATTTGACCATAGATACCATAGATTAGATAGTTTATATATTAAACTGCGATGTGACAAATCACAAACACTATTAGCTAACATACCTGTGGCAACAGTGAGCACGACTTTACACAGCGAGAGCCACTGGGACAGATTGTCCGCAGCTAGCACTTGCAGCATGGAGGTGAGAGTGTCGTGGATTTCTCTGATCATACGTGGATCAGTCTCAGTGTCCAACATAGAGAACAACACACCGGGCAGTCCGGACTCTGTGATCACTAGACCTGACACACATAGAACAAGGATAGTGATGTAAAAAATCATTTTAGGTTATACTTCTAGAACAAACCTAAAGTCTATGCCGATACTGAAACCCTCAACACGTCTGCAAAGATGTGCGATCAAAAAATTCACATGATTGTAGTTGACGACGATAACATTTCTGTGACTGCGGGAGATAATCAGAATGTTGCCAGGATGGTGGATGACGATAATCATGTTTCATTGTCCGATGATGATGTATACTTCACCACAGGAGATAATCAGAATGTTGCCGCCATTGCAGAAAGCCAAGTTTCCTTACTGCAGGGAATATTCAGGATTTTGCCGCAATCGTGGAATACATTAGTGATGTTCATGATTTTAACGCAATCACAGAAGACGATGATGTTTCTGTGAGTGATACAAATATCCTGGATTTTGCTACTGTCGCAAAAGAGAATGATGGTGTTTTAGGTTGAAATTTTAATTGTCTGGTTATTTGCTTCGCCTACTTAAAAAACAACCCAGTCTCCTAAATTTACTCTGTGTAAGTTCATCAGAGGGTTGGCTTATAACCAATCTGTATGGAAAATTAGGTAAAATACAAACAAATTGTATTAGTATAATATTTGAGAGTAAATTTTTCAGGTTTTCGTATCGGGTATCAAGAATCAATGAATTTTAGTATTGACACATCTCTTAGCTACTGTATACAGGCTGGCTGAAAAGTAACTTGCACCCCCCCCCACCCCCCTTAATTTTTCAACCATTTGATATTTGAAATCGGTTTGCGGCAACCTTCTTAGATATGAGGGGCTACAATAATTATGGTCAGCTTTAAAAAATTTGCCCTTAGGGGTAGCGTGGGTGGGGGTAGCTCAAAATTTTCAAATGACAGTATAGTCGAGTTTGGTATCATTTTACAGGTCTTCACAAAACATAACAATTAACATTCAAAATTGACCATAATTATTGTAGCCCCTCATATCTAAGAAGGTTGCCGCAAACCGATTTCAAATATCTCAAATGGTTGAAAAGTTAAGGGGGGGGGGGGGGTTGCAAACTTTTCAGCCACCCTGTATATGTTCCTGTTGTAGCAGTTTTGTCAGAAGTGTTTAAATAAACACAAATTATTCTGATGGAAATACAAAACATTTTTTAAACATAAAAAATGTTACCTTCAACTGAGTCAGAATCCCTGTATTCTCCAGCCAGCGTCAAAGCATGTTCACAAACTTCTTTTGCCTCTCTCTGTGTAAGTTGACGCAAGCAAGAAACAGCGGCTTTACGCAACAGCAGGTGATTGCTGGCTAGTGTTTTCTGTGAATCACAAAGTAAAGTTATTGAAGAGGCTTCTATTTTATTTATTAATGTTTTAAAGTGTAATCAACAGTCTCCATTCATAAATTATTGGTTCACTTCCAAAAGTTTAGTCTTGAATATTGTTTATATGAAGTTTTACAATGCAGTTATTTAATATTTTCTTGCCTTAGAGTTGGATCGGATGGGGGTATTGCCAAATTAAATTAAATTAAACTAAATTAAATTTGAATAAAATATAGGCTACTGCTGGTCCATAAAGTAAAGTTAATGTTTCTAGCCAATCTAACTAGCAATAAAATGACTGTGGGAAAGTAGCTTACACAAAGCATTGGTACCAGTGAGGACAGGTTGACGTGACGAGGGGCGAACAGATGGAGTTGTTGAAGACAAGATGTCGCCTCCGCCTGAACCAGTGGCTCCTGATGGTCCTGCATGATGGCACACGCACACAGCAGCGAGCTGCGCGTCAGACAAACACTGGCGCTGTTACCTGCGGAAGATCACTGATATCAACCTCCCTAATTAAATCCTAAAATGTATTTTAGTACTTTATTAACCAAGCGTTTTATTTTAATGTTAACCTACCTTTTTAAGAGTGTTTATGAGTGGTCTAAGGTATGATGCAATAGTGAGTTGAATAAATCGTCGTTGACAAGACAAAGGGGCGTAACTACATAGGCTTTTGTTATAACCTGTTGAGCTATTGTTTTAAAGGTAGGATTACGTCGAGCGGATGGATTTCTTCCCATAAACCGCCTAAATTTTGTGAACGGAATATAAGACAAAAAGTAAGATTTGTATGTTACACAGAAGAAGTCCTTAATAAAAATGACAGAACAGGACTTCTTAAGCCAAATGGACTAAGTATAGACTGACTTTGTAGGCTTACATGCCAGTAAGACAACACTTATACCTACTGTCATCAGATATAAGTGACTTACCACAAGTAGACTAACCTAACATAATCATGCTCAAACTCTAAATGAAAAAACCCAAGATATAACTGCATTAAAGTTCCTAGGTGAAAAATTTAAACATTTACAAGCTACATATTATATGGTGTAGATAAAAAATACTGTAGATTTTTGTGAACATCCAGGATCTAGCTGAAATGGCAAGGACTTTTCTGGAGATTGGGGATATCTAACAGCTGTATACATTCTGTGAATTAGGGATAGTGAGTGTAAGCCACATAACATAACTGTCAACTCACATAATCACCTCCAAATACACGCACAATGGTGTGTTAGTGTCATAAATATAAATCTAATACAATTAATCTTATTATATAATATATCTAAATCATTCTTCTATTTTCACTCATAACTTCACTTACCTTGCAGCTCTGGTCCCACAGTCGTGATGAGAGCAGACACCACCTTCCCGATGCACTGATGTACATCAACATGGAACTGGGAGACGTTGAGTAGCAGTTTGAGAGCCAGAGAGAGTGAAGGTTCTACATAACCTCGCAACATTGGTCCTCCAGACTCGGCTATTAGAGCCAGCGCGTGTAGCGCCCATACCTAACATGACAAAGGTGATTACATAATATTTGGTAGACTATATGAAGAAGATTATTAGAAATGTTTTATAAATTTATCTTATAATATTTTTGTTTAATCAACCCCTTATTAAACCACAGATTTTTATGATAAACTATTAGAAATTAAACCCATACTCCGAGCAATGTTTAAAGGTTACTCTGTGTTTTTTAATTAAATCTCCAAACAAGAAACACGAAGGAGTTAAGCACCTTATTTTAGTTCTAGTTTTTATTTTTACCATTAGTAGAGGTTGTGTTAACCAAAGTAGTTCCTTTGTCTTTCTGTTTTAGCAATATTTCAGCTTTCCTGACAATAACCGCTATTTTCAAGTAGCGCTATTTATCCTGCATTTTCAATACTCCAGCTCCAGCAATTTCAAAGCTACAAACATGATGGATTTACAATTGCCTATTGTAATACTGTATAACATTTTAAGACATATAAAAATAGTACACCAAGTTAGGTATAAAATCATAGATTCCAAGAAGAGTTTCAATTCAACTCCTTTGTATCGTGCGTGAATGTGGTTATTGGATTGGCTGAAATGAATTGTAAATCCCAAGTAAATATTACAGTTTTTGGGCTATTACAATGCTCCAAAAGTATTTTCCAAGTCGAGACTAAATATGATTTTAAGGAGTAATAAGTAAACACATGATCCAGTACAGGAAAGGCAGCACAGTATGTAGCAGCAGTATCAGTGTGTTTGAAGAGTAGACCTACCTGTACAGTAGGGGAAGACAAGTCCTGAGCCAAAGCAAGTAGTATACTAATGCTGGTGTTCAGATGTTGACTAGAACCTAGACTGCCTACGTAGCGATGTAGACAACCCAGGGCGAGCGAGTGACCTACAAACAAGAACAAGTAGTTCGTTTGTCCTTTTTGCCAAGGGCTTTAGCCTTGAAAAGCGCTTTTAGGGTGGTTTAATTAAACATGAGATAGCTTCAGATTGTGTAAAAGAACTACAAATGTTAGCAGAAATAAACTTCCAAAAACAAATTATGTTAGGTTGTGATAGGATAATTAAATAAAAAAAATATTATATTTTAATTCTTTTCAATAATTTAATGAATTCAGCTGTAATACAAATTGAACACACTTTAGTAATACAATCAAAAATAATTTTTTCATAATAATTTTAAATCTCAATCGGCCAAACAATATTATCTACCAACAAAACCATGACATTACCTGTCCGACTGGCAACATCACGAGCAAGTTTCAACCTGTCAAAGCTTGTCTGCGCTAGCTCAGCCGTGAACCTTGGGTCTCCCACCACTTGCGCCAAGCGACCCAGACACTCGGCGGCGGCACAGCGCAACATGGAGCTGCCGTTGGTCAGCACACCCTGCGGAATCAGCAGAGAATCAAACCCAAGCCTTTGGAAATACTCGGCAGACTAAGCACTTGCCCCCAGCAATCATTTTTAGGGATCGTCAAAATTTGGATTATAATACAGCGGTTATTTCACATAAAGGATAAAAGGGAATCAGTAAGCCATTTGCCTTATCTTGCCAATCTGCTTCTTTTATAGGGACCAGCCTAAACAACTTTTCGCTTTAGATAACTTTTCTGGGATATGTTGGAAACTAGGACATATTTCAAGGCAAATACAAATTAGATATGACGGATGAGTACAAAGATTTTTCTAGCTTTTTTAATCACTAAGAGTGTAGTGTTTTTCAGTCATTGTCATTAATTAAGACCCAATGATCAATATAATGATCAATCCTAACTTTTTGACCCTACTCGGCTACCCAGTAAATGAACTAAGACTAGGAAAAAACACTTAACTTTAGATAATTTAACGCTTTTGGGAGTGAGAGGGTAACAATCATCACTCCATTCATTATAAGAACCACAAAATGGCACTGGACATCGTAACCAGAAAGATAAGAACGTCTTTTTGTCACAACGTAAATCAACGTCCAATGTCAACATTGACTCATGAGTATTTTGAACTATCGTATGTCAGATTAACGAGATTCAACTGTATGTTTGTATTCCAAATGGGAATCATATGAAATAAAAAACCAAACCATATTTACTACATTAACTGAATTTCTCACAATAATCAAAGCAGTTGCGTTCTTCTTCACGTCATCCTGTCCAATCCCAGCCTTATTGTCTGTGAGCCCCTTGAGGCCTGAGAGCAGAGCCGCAAACACATTGAGAGTGACGGCGTCCGCGCGACAACTCTTGGCTGCCTTCATACACTCGGCAAAGTGTTCCAGCATCTGTAGCCGATGTTTGTTGGCCACTCTGGGAAACACACAGCCAAACAACACGACCGAGGCGTCAATCACAGCCACGCCCAGCGGCAACGGACCAGGGATCTTCTCTCCCTAGATAAGGTAAAATAAAGACAAATTTCTTGGAAATGTAAAGATTTCACGAAAAAACATTCCCAATATTTGTTGTGTTCATCCCAGCTTGCTTTATTGATTAGACCTAGAAACTGTCTACAACTTTAATTTTCAATTTCTTTTGATTTATACAAAGTGATTGGTATGTTTTTTTTTTTCAATTAGAAAAAGTTTAGCTCTAGGTATCTTGAACAATACAGCTTCTAATTTTGTCATTTTTTGAATGTGACTTTATTCAGTGAATATTTTAGTCACCTTGGATTAATCTCAAAACACAAACATTTATCCGGTATAATAAATCTATTATCTTCATCACCAATCTAATTTCACTTACTGTAGGGACGGGACGGAACAAGCAGCAGCCATCATGTTCCAAAGCACCCGATCCAGCGGCACTGTTAGGCTGCAACTGTAAAGGGAATCACAATTATCATAAAACAATTTTAATTAATAAAACCTCAATGAGTACTTACTAATACTTGTATACTGTAGATTGAACACTCAACAAAGACTCATTTTAATAGTAGTTTGTTTTTATTTTGTTTTTCAATAGTTTTTAATTTTAATGTTTTATATAGATCTAGCTCAAAAATAACAAAGGTGTTTTACAACTTTCATTTAAGGCAGAGAAGAAAAATGCTCTTTAGTCAAAAGGAAGCTAATCAAATTAGCTTAACAGGATTGGGCTAAATCTAAATCATATAGGTTTTATGGATCACTTTTCTATCAAGAATTCAACGTACGAAAATATTTTATTGTTTTTTATTATAATAATTATTAATTTTTAAACAATCAGGCCTGTAAGTTGCATGTACCACACTATGAACCCGAGAAATAATTGCGCCACCCCCCCTCATTCTTAGGAGAATTTTTATTTTCCTCATGCCTAAACAACCTAAAACCTTTTGCGCCCCTGGGCCCGGGCCAATCGGGTCTATTTAAGAAAAGAAGCCCTGCAATCAATGAATTTACCACTCTTGGTTTTGTGTTTTAATTAACGCAGCTGCTAATATATAAATACCCCATGTACAAGCTTTAATCAACACTAAATGGACTAGTACCTTAAATTAGACTACGTTGCTTGTGGTAAATTGAAGAAATAACAAATAAATATACATGAAACGTCACACATAAAATTACAAAAAAAAGGACTGAGGAAATAGTGTTTCCAACACTAATAAATCAACATAAAACAATTCAGAACATAGATGAAACCAATATTCTATATGAAGGTGTAAAAAATAAGACAGTAATCAGTCAGGGAAATTTAACAAATCATGGTTGCAAACTTAACAGACACAACACTTACAACCCCTTTGATAACGCTAAGTGCAATGAGAATGTAAACTACAGAAAGATCAGGTACAAATTGGTGAAACAAAATCAAAGACTTTCAAACATCTACAAGGCGTACCTTCCAACCTTCCAACAAGGAAGGAATACAGCAACACCATTAATGAAAGTTACAGGGTGAAGTTATAAAATAAATTGTATGATTATTAGTTATAATAAATATGTGCAATAAACTTAGAGGCAAAAGAGATTACTTGTTATTTTAACAACTATTTTTCATAAACATAAAGGCAATTTTTAAAAAATCTTCCTGTCTGTAAAAATTTGCAAGATAATTTATATCAAGAACACTTACTAACTTTTAATTATAAATAAAAAATTTAGTTCAATTTCCAAAAGATCTCATTTTCTGTAGTTTAGCCTACATAGTGATGCACAATATGAGCTGGACAAAAATAAAAATAAATAAACTAAAAACAAAACCAACAATCCATGCAGTCCAAACCACTGGACTTACATGTTCGCCATCAGATCTGCGACCAGAGTCCATCTAAACAACAACAGTAAAGTTGGAATTGAACCTCGAACTTTTAAAACACATTGATTGTATGCTCGAGTATAGGTTGGGGTGCCACCAATGCTGTTGTGAACAAAGCCTGAATATAGATCAGGCATCAATATGTCATTTTTTTTATTATTAATTTTTTTTACTTTTAATTTTTTTTTTTTTATTTTGATTTTTATTATTACTATAGGCCTAGTATTATGTTAGCCATTATGTTAGCCATGTTGATAAATCATTGTGTTAGCCTCTGCATGGTCTGAGAAAAGGTACCTCTTGTTGTTTAATGTTATTTTGCCATAACGACAAGAGGTCCCATTTTTAATATTCACTTTATAAACAGACTTTAGTCCAAAAAATGAATTGTACTGCATTCTAATGGAAATTTAGAGAACTACAACAAAGTTCAGTTTACGGAGAACACAATATCTCACAAATTTTGTCGTCCCGAAAAGAGGTACCTTAATTATCTTTTGGAGAAATAATATAGGGCCAACAAGAAGTCCCTTTTCTGAAATGTGATTTTTACAACATGCTTCGATAAAACAATTATTTAAATTAAAACTACCGTGAGTTAATTGTTATTGTCGATACGTGTAGTGCTGGTTTCGTATGTTATTTTGTTGCAAATCGTTTTCAGATCAGCCATCTTTGTATCTTACTGTGGCAGTGCTTTTTGAACAGTGTAGTGTGGGGGTTTGGCTTTAGTGCTTTGAGGCCTTTTCTGTGATATTTTTTATGGGTACTTCGCCCTGGTTTATACTCTCCGCCCTTTTTTTTAGTGCTGCTATCTGATGGTTTCTTGTAAAACTACTTCCACAATGACTGGAGCACAATACATGCTTAAACTGCCTCTCCTATTGGATGAAACTAAATTTCAACATTTTCGCACACTCTATTCATCCTTTGTAGCACATTAGTTCCTACACCTGACCGCAGCGAACGTCTTAACAGTTTGAATACCAAACAGCTCTAAGTAAATTTCTATATCAACCATACTCCATCATGTGAGTATAGTATTCCTGTAATGTAAATAGGAAACTCAGAGATGACAAACCGACCTGTTCCTCTATAGTGCGATGGTCTGTCTCCTGCAGCCAGGATCCCAGGATAACAGACTCGTCAATGTGACAGACGGAGCGCAGCTGGGACGTCGTAGTGTTGGCCGAGTTCTCACTCAGCGTGAACTCCGCCACAAGTAGTCGCAGCAAGTGTGTGTAGGAGCCTGTAGACGGACAGGATAGACAGTCAACGTTGCAAAGTTCAACACTGGATTACACATTTTGTAAGAGATTAGTTGAGTCCACATAGGCCTTGGGCCACTGCATGGAACATATACAGCAAAGCAAACGGTAGCTGGTCCATTACAAGAGTGAACCATACTGATAAACTTAAAGACGCATGTTAAGATGTGAAACACAACATTGCTACCATTGATTTTTAGTCTGTCATGTATTCTACTGAACAACAACTTCACAAGTCAAGGCCAAATATCACTGATTTTCAAGTTAGTAAAATACTTCCCATGTACTAAACAAAATGTAGAGGATTTTTTTTTAAGAAATAATTTGGACATTTTTGTGACGTTTGGGATCTAGAATATAAGGGTTGGATTCTAGATCTTATTTAGGTTTAGATTCTTTTGTTGGAAAAGAATCTACATGACAAGACTCACTCCAACTGGCTAAAGAAACATCTTATCTTAGTCAGTAACAAGGCTACAAAAAGTATCTGACGCCATTCAACACTCATTCTTAATTTATAACTGTGTTAAAATGAAATACACTTAGTTGCACCCCGTCACACTTGGTAGTATGAATCTAATCTAATTTGTTAATTTCCAAGCCTACCTTCAAAAGACTGGGGTGGCAGCAAGGATAGTACTTCATACAGCCGTAGTCTCACCATAGCAGCAGGAGCTTTCAAATGCTGCCCGTAGCTCTTCAATACCGAAGAGATGCTGGAAAAGGACAAACTTTGATGAAATCTGCATTAAAATACTGTACTGTAAAATACATACTGTAGAGATAAATGAACAGATACACACTAACTTATCTAAGATAAGAGTTCTAGGAGCAAACATTTTACATTGAGTATGATATTTCGCCTCAAATAGAAAACTAACAAACTGGGCTGATCTGCTTCTGACATTTTGCTCTTCAGAAGAGCGTAGTATAATTTCAGTTACACAACTGGAACTGATTGTATTATCTAAACTATTCTTGCCATAAAAGTAATTTTTGAATCACTAAATATTGAAACCAACCCTTGGAATTTAATTAATTAGGCTAGTTGTACTACCATTCTACTAATTTAATAGCCCTAGTAGAGCAGGCATTTTAAGAGTATATTTACAAAAAATAAGTTAACGATAAAACCTTTTTTAACACCAATTGGTTTTACATTACCTTGTATCAGTTCCAAATTGTAACCTTAGTCAAAATGTTACATGTTTCGGCGAGCTACCATTGTCAAACACTTCAAACCAGGAATATACATTAATTCCACTTGGATAGCTTTGTTTTCAATACGCGACAAATACATTTAACGCACGACATAAAAATAAATAAATACGTTTTGCCTGATAGGCCTATCACGGGTAAGCAACATTGCCAGTACACAAGTGGGAACAGACTCCGCTCTTAGTTGTCACTAGGCTCAACTATTGGAAAAGTAAAAGACATCTTGAACTTGTTGCTATTCTAGAGGACTTAAGACTATGCATAGGTTCAATCCCAGACATTCCACAAAAATTCTAATTTGGACTGCTTTCCCTCAAAAGTGTTTGCTATTGTTTAATTCAAAATGTAACAGCAAGAAAAAAATGGAAAAAATTTTCAGTTTTCATCGTACTTACTTGATGAGCATTGCCAGGGCAGCCTCTATGGGAGTCAGCAATCTCCTGATGATATCATCAGTCAGCAGTTCAGGACAGTAAAGCAGAAAACTGTGCATGGCAGACAGAGCTCCAGCCCTGCCTTCTAGAGTAACCTGTGAAACATTGTGTTAATTTCAGAACAAATCATTAATTGACATAATTGTTGTGTACATGTAGATTAGCTAACAGCAGCAACTGGTGTGTTTTCCAAATGAGACAGAAGAATTGTTAAGTGTAAAACTGTCTACCTGGTCATGAGGACACTAATAATAGTTCACCGTTGAGACAAGAAGTGGGCACATACCTGCCAAGTAAAGGCGTCCCCACGAGCTTTCTCGGACTCTAACTCCTTGTTGGACCGAGGGAAGGAGTTTCTCCACAACAACAACATCCTCGGCAACAAGCCTCGCACTACAGGCACTCCTGCGAAAAAGAAGAAATGGTTTAAAACATGATAATGCTTATAATCCTAACATTTTTATTTTGGTAAAACTCATATCTACTTGTATTAGTTTGAAAACTAGAATGATCAGACTTATCTAGGAATAATTTTATAGCTTTCATAAATTTTTTTCAAAAATAAATTTTGTTACAGCACAGAGAAGTAGGGACCAGAGGTAACACGCTTATGGGACGACCGTGCGCTTTAAGCTCCGGTATGTTGTGCTAGAAATGTACTTGTGACGAGCAACGAAGAGCCTGAACGGCGAGCACTGTGTGGAAATTCATATCGCTCAGGGCACAGGGTTTCCTTCCACCGTGAGTGTTGAAGTGCATGAGGGCAAAGTAGTTGGGGGGGGGAGGGGTGTTGGACTTTGCCCTAGACACCAGTACTAGTTAAAAAGGCAGATAAATGAAATGAAAAACAATCCTTCTTTATTGAGACGAACAGTTAATTTTGTACACCTATTGATTGATAGAAAATTAAGGATTTACCTTTTTAAAACTTAGTCTTTATATCATAGTATACTTCTAAAATTCAATTTCAACAATATTTAGTGTTTCTTATGGAAGGAAACCTGATTACTCTTGGTTTCATTGATAATCATCTTGGGCCTGAATGAAAGGGTAAATTTCTCTTTCATAAATCTGTTTAGACAAAGAAAACTAAAGCATATTTGCAAAGACATATTTACCCAGAGCCATAATTGCACCAATAAGCAGCCAGCCGGACTGTGTTCGGTTTAGAGAGAGCCGACTGTTCTGACTAGCGCTACGAAGCAACTCCTCTGCTGTGTTGAAGATCACCTGTAACAGACATTTTGAAATCAACTTAGATACATGGAGTGTTAAAAAAGGCCCTACAGAATTAAAAATAAAATGTATAAATAAACCAGAAGTATAATTGAAACAAATATGCAGCAACTAATATTGCTAACCACTAATTTAATAAAACTTTTATGTACCACTCCGTTGATTAAATTGATAGGAATCAATGCGGATCCACCTTAGTTGTATTTATTTACAATTGTAATGTAATGGATGTGCTTTTATTCGATAATAAATTATGATAAATTATGATCATGGTCCACTCCCTTTGGTTTGGTTAGGCAAGGTTTGTTTAGGTTTTTTTAGTCAGGCTAAGAAGTGTTGTGTTAGGTAAGATGTGCTTTAAATTTAGTATTTTTTTTAGTTAACTGTGTTATAGCCTGTTATAGGCACAGTGGTAAAACACTTCGCCTAAAATTCCCCTTCCCACCCTATAACTTGGAATTATCCCTTCTCAAAATTAGCCAGAATGATCGGAAATGGTGAAAAAAAACTGTGGTCAAATTCCTTTCTGTTGATGACAACCATAATCGTGGAAGGTCTGTCTCATTTTACTCTTGATAACAATTATTTACTCTGTGAATAAAAGAGTATGACAAAATTATCTAAAATAGAGTAGGTATAGATTAAACAGTTTAAAATACTGATAGTTTTGGATCAAAATGTTTTTTACATGATGGAGTTGGATAACACAGTTTGACTACATCCATGAGTGGAGAGGAATGCTTCTTACCTTTCCTTTGGTGTGGGGTACCCCCAGGGGGGAAAGTTTGACTCCCCCCAGTACAGCGGCCAGCGCTGCGCTGTATCCTGCAATGGCTTCTGGGGATGATCTCATGTTCTCTATGTTTTCCACACACCTGCAAGTCGAAATCAGATAAATGTTTTTAGTATAACATCTTCTATATATAAAGCCAAAAGTACCCATGAACTTTTGAGAAAACTACCAGTCACACCCCCATAAACCATATACTTAAAATGTTCGTCATGACGAGAAACCTTGCGCAAAACTATCCATTATTTCATAAATTGCCCTTTAAGGTCGTAATTCCTTTCTAAAGGGAACTTTCCATATACCTAATGTTAAAATACCTCAGCTGTACTTATTTTTTGTATTACAGTATTCTGTTTTGTTTATTTCAGCCTAACCTAACCAATCAATAATGTTATTAATTAATACTTATGAAGTCAAACGGGGTGAAGCCTGTGGGTAACAGCTAGTTACATTAAATTACATTTGTTCAACACAGACACGTCAGTCTATGTATTTCTAGCTGGAGATGACTGAAGAATAAGGGTTTAAAGGATGAGATGAACTCGATGACACGAATGGAAGTATGAATCAAATTCTGTGATTAGGTTTCTATGGGTTCGTACTTGGCAGGAGTGTTTTCTATATTTTTTTTAACATAGGCCAGGCTTACAAGTGACCATTAAATTACATTGCAGCTGGTACAGCTTATTGTGTACTGGAAGGAGCATTGATTTTCTTTACATTGTTTTCGGCTACTATGGCAAGATTAATCACCATATATGGGTATAAACTAGAAGAAATAGTAGTGGATGAAGTAAAGAACACTGAATTGATTCAAGGTTTTAACTTCTGACGCTTCATGGTGATGGCAGCTCAACGGAGACATAATTTACAGACAACCATTGTTATTGAGCTTGTACTTAACCTGTAAATTTACACCCAAACTGATAAAAACCCTTTTGGGGGATCAAGACTTCAGTCATATCGTTTAATTTGTACATGATTATTTTACATTTTGACCCAAAAAGTATACGCTCCAGACAATTTTTGAGAAAGCTACCCAGGTTTCTGCAGATGAATTCATGTAACTATTTGGTCTTCTTTATTGCGCCAAACATTTTTTTGCTCACATATTGTCTTGTTGCATGTTGTCTCACACCGAAGCTTATGATACTACTGCTACTACCACATGGTATCAAATTGTTGTATACCTTCATGATGGAAACTAGCTTACTTTAGAACATTATTCAATATAGGAAAGATACTGACCTGTCAATAACGGGTGTGTTCTGGCTCGGCACAGCCACACATATACATCTTAGACACCACGCTGCGGCAAGCCTAGCCGCCTGACAAGGGTGTATCAGTACAGCCATCACTGCATCTATCAGGTCTGCAACATACAAAGTATTTTACGACCAAGCAGAAAACGACCACAACAGGTCGTAAAAAGGGTATAAAGTCACCTACATCGGTGTGGATTGGGGACAAGGAAGTGCAAAATTTAAACACAGTAGCGTACTTAAGCCCACCCCCCATATATAAACCTTTAAATGTGTGTAAACCGGGTGTAACATGTAGATTTAAAGGAAACACAGAATTATGTTTCAATATAGAACAAGTATACTCATCAGGAATAACAACAAAGCTCTTATGAATGAGTATTTTAACCAACGAGTTCTGTCCCTATTTATGAGTCAAAGTTCACATTTTAAACACTTTAGTAGAGCTTGTGAAAGGTTTTCTCTACTCACTGGAAGAGGTTAGCAGGTTACTGGCCGTGGTGCCGAGACTTTCTATCAGACAAGCCATCTCCTGTAGAGCACAGACCAGCAGATGTTGGCCATACAGAGTCTCTTGATTACAGTCCTTGGCGTTCTCTGGGTTAAAATCTGCAGACACATATCAAAATGGGTTTAAAAATCATGTGAAATTGAATTTACAGAATAAAAAGTGATAAACAGAAACATGATGCCTACTCGGCATTGTTCAAACTTCAAATAATCACTTTGGGAGTGACTCTAACACCTGCAAATGTAATAATCATTGAAGTGTCTAAAAATCCCAGAAACCTTATCTTTGTAAACGAGTCCCATAGGTTATGCAGGAGACTTGAATTTACTATCAAAGTTCTTGACAGACTATTATTAGATGAATCTAATAACAGCAGCTGTACAAAAAGAGGATTACATAAACTTGCCTTGTACAGGATTAATACTTACCACTAATCAATTGTAGGAAAATTAAAAATCCGAACAATCCAAATACTATGCACAGTCTAGTTATTGCGACACAACACAACGTACCTATGGACGTCATCTGTTTGGCAACAATGAGCGTCATCTCTTTGACAGCAGCTATCTGAGCCTTCTCCGGCAACATGCGGCCGAGCACTGAGCGGAGGATGAAGTTGATGCACTTGCGAGCGTAAACTGCGTCCACATGGGACGACGCTGCCTTGGGATTGGCCACCAAGTCCAGTACATGACCCAAAACTATGGTCAGGTTACGCTCCAGCCAGGAGCTGCCCATTAGTTGGATAAACACTACGTACGCCTGCGGAAAAATTGTATTTGAAATATTGTGCATTGATGAAGAGCTAAGAAATTCTACAAAATGAAACATAAACACCACTGAAACACCTGCTTCCGATGGGATGAATGATCACGACACACATTTGAAAATTGTAAATATTTTTCACTGATAGAAAGGATTTAAAACAATTCTTGAGGATTCAACAGCGCAGGTAAAGGATGATGTAAATGAAATGTATAAGGATTTATGTTCTTAAGGACATTAAGTGGACACAGTAGAAAGCTAAGGAGGCAGGTATAGGTTTTGAGAACAAACAGAAATATATATGATTTTTTACTGGAAGAGGGTATCAGAAAGTGCTGACTAGTCCCAAACCAGCAACGCCTGGATTGCCCGACCAAGACACTGAGCTATCGTGGTCATTAAATTTGATCGTCACTGGTTCACAAAATCACAGATCCTGTTAATATCATCAGATACATCTGATCTAAAAAATGTTTTCTTTACATCACATTTGTTCAAAGGCAACACTCACATGGGTCACTCCGACCCGAACCTCCCTGTTGAGTCCGGAGCTGCCTTTGATGATTTCTCCGGTGTTCTTGAGGAACCCAACGCCGCCTCTGAGGAACCCAGACATCAGCACAGTCAGAGCCTCCTCTAGAGACACTGGCTTGGCTGCCTTGTTTTGGGCGACTGTAAACACAAGCGGTTATTTTACCATGTTCTTCTTATTTATAGAAACTACAGACAAAACTAAAGAAGACTTACATTATTGGAAATTCCAAATAACAAATAGTTTATCAGGAGTCGAAAATACATTTATAATTATTTATCTATCTATATATTAATAGGCAAGCATGTTTCTTTAAAACCTTTTTTCTCAGCTCGTGTGCATCGTAGGGAAAATCTACGCATACCGTTAGAAAGCTATTTTCCTGTAGGTGTGCAGAATCCCTTTATAAATTTAAATAGGCTCAAAGATAAGCGCAAAAAATGAGTTTAAAAATTTGAAAAAAATTACATGGATCTTATGCGTTGCCATGCTGGTGACGAAATAACAACGAAATATAAACAGAAAATGAAAACAAATGGAAGAAACTCCAATCACATGTTTTATTTACAGTGTGGGGTGAAACATTAACATAAGTGAGTACATTACAAATTTTTGGTCGAGTTTCGACCACTGGACATTACTCGTACTTATAAATACACAGATGAACTTGAAGAAAACTACACTACTCATCATGGAGGGGTCAGGAGTTGACTTTTTTAATCCTTGCATAATAAATGTAATGTGTGAGTTTATGTGCAACAGTTAGATGGGCATATTTAGAGAAGAGGGGGTGACAATAATCTCAAAAAATAGGAATCCTGAAGAAAGACAACTGAGAACGGTTGATTAGGGTGATTCTTGATATGGGGAGAATATAAGTAACTAAGGAAGACACAGAAGAACGAGAGAGGTGTAGGGGCTTTGGTAGTGCTGCCAATATAACTGATTTATTTGGAAACTGGGACTAAGTAATTAAGTGTGACTTTTCCCCCCACTCCACTGACCTGGTTGGTTGGCTTTCGGCTGCTGTTGCTGGGTGATAGCGATCAGTCCACCCAGCAGTTTGGCCACACTGCACCTAACCTCATAGTTGGAGCCGTCGAAAGCTCGGAAACACAAAGTTGCTAGGTTCTCCAGCTCCGTGGTGTGCATGAACGTCGCGTGGTTCAACATCTCCAATATACACTGCGGACAGAAATATAATGTTAGTTTTAAGTTTCATTGCACTGAGTAAAAGCATAAAACTTAATATAAAAGCAGCAAAAAGATACTGTGTACTTTTACCCAGTCACATAGCCTATACATACATTATTACACTCAACACAAAGAGTGATGTACAAGTTTTTGTAGTGAAATTTCTGAGAGGCTTGTAAATAAATATATGAGACAGCATTTTTGACAAGAAAGAGCAATATTAGAAAAAAACTCTTAATGGTGAGAGGTGATTTTGTCACATGAAAAAAATTTGTTTGAAGGAAGAGAGGCTAAAATGTGGTTCGAGACATTGGGGGAAAGAGCACATTCGGAAAACCTTAAAAAAAGCAAGACACCAAGAAATCATATTCTTGAGTGTGGCAGATTGCGTGAAAATATAATAATAATATCTAAGTTCTTACCGTCAACGCAATCAGGAGTAATATTCCACCACGGCCGTTTCGGAGATGACTCCATCGTCAGGTGCGTAGTGGTACACTAAACTATAGTCTTGTCACATTTAACACGAGTTTTCTTCATTTGCATTGCGTCATGGGGAGAATAAATAATACACATATATGTACAGGACGGACACACGAAAACATTTAGAGCACGTGCACGGCTTGAAAACTGACGACCGACTGTTCAATCCTGGTCACTGCAGGAGTTACGTGGATGACTGGAACAGCTGATAACACGGTGTGCCAACCTTATCTACTCAAGTTATTACTTTCCTGTTTGATTTCCATTATTCTCTCAAAAATTGGATTGGCAGCTGAATTTGTTTGGGAGTTGATTACTAAGTTGGGTTCTTTGGCTGTACTGCACAGGAGAGTCAAGAAAAAAGTCAACAATAAAGCTGATAAGGATGATAAAAAATACGTCACGTTAGAGTTCTGTAAACTAAACCAACGTTAAGCAACCCGTCCCTTTAGTAGACAAAATTATTCAGTTGCGTACAGAACCAGTAATAGCCTCCAACGTAAGCTGTCTGCTCCTCGACACAGGAATACACCATTGTTGGAAAAGCCAGGTGTTTACAAACTTAAGTGTGGAGAATGTGACTCGTATTATATTGGACAGACTGGTAGGTGCTTTAAAACCAGATACAAAGAGCACATAAGCGCCATTAAGAAACCCAACCCTACTTCAAATTATGCCGAACATATTCAACAGTATTGCCATGGTTATTCCGACATAAACAGTTTAGAAATACTACATATTGGCAATAAAAGTCACAAACTTAATTGCATCGAAAATTTCCATATCTACAGCAGTACAGCCAAAGAACCCAACTTAGTAATTAACTCCCAAACAAATTCAGCTGCCAATCCAATTTTTGAGAGAATAATGGAAATCAAACAGGAAAGTAATAATTTGAGTAGATAAGGTTGGCACACCGTGTTATCAGCTGTTCCAGTCATCCACGTAACTCCTGCAGTGACCAGGATTGAACAGTCGGTCGTCAGTTTTCAAGCCGTGCACGTGCTCTAAATGTTTTCGTGTATTCGTGTTTTCGTGTGTCCGTCCTGTACATATATGTGTATTATTTATTCTCCCCATGACGCAATGCAAATGAAGAAAACTCGTGTTAAATGTGACAAGACTATAGTTTAGTGTACCACTACGCACCTGACGATGGAGTCATCTCCGAAACGGCCGTAGTGGAATATTACTCCTGATTGCGTTGACGGTAAGAACTTAGATATTATTATTACACCAAGAAATGTCACTTACAGCTCAATTAGTCCTTTAAATCTGGAACTTAGTGCATTTGACATATAATCAAACAAATCACAATTACCGAATGTGTTTTTTACGTTCACCAATCCCATATTCTAGAGAAGTTAAGTTAAGTGGTAAAAAACTCCTATCAGTATAGTAAACTTTCGCCAAATAACATATTTATAAAAAATAATAATCCCCTTTTTCACAAAGCTTAACCCTAGGTACAGTATTGGGAAATTGCCTATTGGCTAATTGAGTCTAAGAAATCAACCAGGAAGAACTAACAAAGTTAATCATTCAATATATGATTCATAATAGTAAAACTTAAAGTTCTTGCTTACTTTGGAGGCAGCACAGCGGACAGCCATTACTCTATCAGTAAGACAGTGTTTTGCGGCTTTGTAGATTTCTTTGTGCATGTTGGAAATGGCGCTCCCCATTCCGCAGCAAACCTACGTAATTAGACAAGATATTAGAAAGTTAGACCAATCCTATTTTTGCAAAGAATTTTCCCTAAGCGGAAGGTAAACAATTACAAAAAAATGATCTTTGCAGAACAAATAAATTTTGTATTGGTTTATGGTAAAATATTTAGTAATTAATTTTATTTAGGATTATTATATATTTTTTAAATATACTCTTACTCTTTAATGCTCTATTTATTACATCAAATTGAAAATAGGTGCACAGATACTCATAGACTAAATATCGATTAAGAAATCAATTTACAGGACTAGTTACTATTTACTAATTTACAACAGATCCTCCTAATAACATGATGCAGCTAATAAATACAAAGTAGTTAAACATACCTTGAAAATATTTTTAATGGACAAAAAAATGTTTCAAGAGTATTCATACAACAAAATTTTATTAAAAGTTTTGCTACCGTTTCACCTTGAAACTACTGGTTATTCCAAAATTGCACTGCATTTTTCCGCGGTTTGCATTGTTAATTCAAAAAATATATAAAAAGTAGGTATCATTCACAAGGCAACATACTGGATTGTTACTTTTTCTCAGAAAGAAAAAAACCCTTTTGATTTTAGACAATTAATTGTATGTTCTACAAAAGACTTAAAAAACAATACAACACTTACAAAACTTACACGAATTGCGGATATTTATAGGCATGCACTGTGGATGTGATACTCCCTGGTGTGGATTAACGTCCACAAGAGTGAGTACTACGACTATCCACAGTGCTATCCTTATAATTAGACCAATTCGTAGATACCAAGGCAGAAATGTGGTTCGGATTCCACTATAAACTGTAGGTCCCTTAGTTGCCATTAGCTGTATGGACTATTAAACAGCTGTTTCTAAGGATATGTCGGCCTTAGTCACTAACAAGACTACAAGATCGCGCCACTCATCCTACACTCATCTCCATTCATACTTGGCTTAAAATACCTACTTTGTATGGTCGCCATTTCATTGAAAAGTATGAAAAGTATTAAAGTATGAGATAAAAAATTGAACACATCTTACTTTAATCTAATTAGGTTTAACAATTAAAATATATTACTAAAACCAGCAGCCTCTTGCTAATCTGCAAAAAGTGTTGAAGAGATTGATAAGAAAATACTGGACTACCTAGTGCTAAAAATAAAGTGGTAATTACACTAATAAATCTTGAATACCTACCTTTTCAAGTGTCAACATGATCTCAATACGAGTCTGGGACTCTGCACTTTTCAAGCACTTGATAAGGATCTGTACTGTCTCCTCGTAAGATCGTCCCATCATACGTCCAAGCTTCTCATACATGGCACCAATGCAGCAAATAGCAGCACTACAACAACATATTACTCGGTGGATGATACTGAACACTTTAAAAACCAGCTTATCTGGGTCTATCACAAAGCTATCATCTTACCCATGCAAAACTCATCCTTTGATTATCTTCGCCTTTAAATTCATACCACGACGTATTCACATTGAATCAAAACAAAACAAAAGTTAATTTAATGAAATGATGGATGACCGTTGACAAAAACTACTTGAACTGACACATAGCCTAAACTTACAGCTTAGTTGGCAAGAAGCTCGGGGAATCGTCTTTATTTCGCAAGATGTCATTGCACTTGTTGACAGTGTCGAACAACAGAAAAGTGTCGCCCACACTGAACAAAGTCGCAAGACATCGCGCAACCAGACGACGAGTCGGAGGTCCGGGACATTCTTGTATCCGCTGGCTCAGCTGTTCCACAAGCTTCTTCTGACATCCCTTGATGTCATTCTGAAAAGAAATCATCCTCAAGTAAAATGCATACTACATTCAAGTGAACATCGCTGATTTGATTTTGTATGTGATGAATAGGGGAAAGTTTACAAGATATACAGGAAAAATGCCTACTGGGCAAAATCAGCTCCGCGGTTTTGCAGGAAGAAGTACAAGTTTCAAAGTTTAAAGTACAAGATCTTGACAGAAAAGTAATAAGTCTGAGACTAGTTGGCTGTACAGTCACCTAACTAGAGATGTGGGTCTATTAATGAAACCAACACTTTTCTAGGAGACCATACCATATTAAAACTGTTGTGAACGTTTTATTGCCTTGTAAAATTAGCCTGAAAAAATACTACCATACTTAGCCAACAAAAGTTACTTGCGTAACTAGTGGGCGAAGTGGCACTTTGCTGAACACGAGAGAAATGTTGTTGTGGAAAGTTTCTCAAGTGCAGCAATGGCAGTTTTCACTCGTGTTACGCATTATATTTTTCTTACAGTTACTATTCAAACACTGTACAACACATTTTTAGGTTAGGTTAAATCAAAACATTTAACAAAATATCTTTAAGTGTTGCCAACTTATTTTCAAATGTACACGGATTATGTGCGTAATAAAAGCACGATGTTTTGTGGTGTTTCATTGGAATACTGGTGTGTGCCCAAGTAAAAAACTGTGTGCCAAAGTAAGGCTTTCTGTACTATAATCTGTGAAAGGAAGCCCACTTTGTGGGGTGACTGTAGGAAAAATACTATCTATACAAACAGACATGATTAAAAATAGATACTAGGCCTACTGTATCTCATTTTGCTAAAGATGTCTATAAGCTAACCTTGTTTCTATATCATTTGCCTTAAATATTGAAGGAGACTATTGGTTGATTAAAGCTAAATATAAATTGATTGAACGAATCTTAAATAAATGTACTTACTTTTTGTGCAGCAATCAATACTTTGTCTAAAAATCTGAGCCACTCAAAAACGAACACTGGCCTTTTGGACTCGGGAAGTTGATTTAAAGCTTCTTCGTTAAGGGTTAGGCTGTGGCTAAGTTCCATCATGGCTCCTAAAAATTGAGATTGATCTTAAATTATGTCCACAGTACGCCAACTTAAGCTATATATCTAAATTGTAAAATCTAAGTCATTTCAAGGTTTATTAGATTAACAGGTAAAACGTTTAACAATTCTTCTAATGCCACCCAATCATCAAACCAAAACCATCGGTATTTTCAATTGAATCAATCTTTTTCTGTGACGTTACCGGTAACTCAATTGTTGATACTTGCATCATATAATGTTTAATAGAGTTAGCCTATTTAATGTTAAAAAAATGACCTACCTAACCCAACCACGTTATTAAATAGCAATAGTTCAAAATTGCATGGCATGTGTCTTATAATTTTTGACAGAATAAAATTCAATTGATAACTTGTAAATATTGCTAAGATCAATTAATAAGGAAAATCTAATAGAATAAAAGAACTATAATTTTAAGTTCTGCCGCTTAACACACAATCTACACTGCCGATGGAATAAATAAGTAAATAGGCTATATCTACTGTCATTAAAATATAACTGTAACTTGTGTGCAGTTCTAAGAAAAAAATATTGCCAAATTTCACATTGTATCAATGTTATAGGAGTGATGATAAGATCAAACAGTCAAACAGAAAATGAATTGAAATGAAAATCTTTATTATCCGTTAGGCATGTACATGCAATAGGCATTCTCAAGATAAATGCTCTTGAATAGAACATTTAACTTAACAATTATTGTCTTAAAGCAAACCCAAAAACCACCAGCGAATGTATGGGCTCGAACCCAATGGACACTATTTTTATTTTACCCAGGGATCCCAGAAAACCCCATTTCTCTGCACGTTTTCTTTTTGGGTAGGGTAAGTAGAAACAACCAGGGGGGTTATCAGCAAAACGTCCGGGATTTCGACTTTTGAAGAAAATTAAAAATTATTTCTGCATGCCTAAGTAGGCCTGGTAATTATTGCGATTAATGTGACCATGGGAACCTATATATATATATATATATATATATATATATATATATATATATATCACCAGAAACTAGATTTTTAGCTGAAAATAATGTTGCAAAAATTTCTCCGCGCTCACAAATATTAACGGAACTACAACCGTTTAAAGTTTTGTTTACTTTTTTTAATCTACTGAATTTTGATGCAATGTTTCCTCACTATATACTTATAGTTATCAATTTTCTGTTGATTCTAAATGATTTAAAGTGAATATTAGGCCCACACTAATAGTTAATGGGTTATTTAAAGTATACGCTTATTTATCAACATACCGGTATCAATAGTTTAGGAAACAAAAAACAACAAAATTGTCATCTAGACAACTAAACTGATTGTTACTAAACGCGGCCATGATACATTTGGATATACATCCGCTCATCCATTTCCAGTAATCCATGCCATGCTTGCTTTGGCTTAAGTTTTTTTACCATATAGCTTTAGAATAGTTTTAAAGCTCTTTCAAAACTAAGACAATATGTTAATCATAAAATTAAATTGTTCTAAGCTAACATAACCTAACCAAACTTGCTGTAAAGCCTAAATGTTGTGTTTTATGACAGAAAAGGCATGAGTGGAAGGCATGTAGTCTAAATAAGATGCCTAAATAAGATATTAAAAAATTCAGTACTCAGTTGTGTTTTAGATGTCTGTAAAACATGTACTTTGAATGCCATTGCATTAACTTATTTTTATCCTCTTCTCTTCTCCTTTTCAGTTTTCGTATTTTCATTTTATTTCAGTTTTAGTTGACTGCAGGCAGACAAGAATGTATATAGAATAAATCAACACTTCAAACTACGGTATCTTAGTTAATATTCGCGACCTCCGAAAATATTGCCCTTTTATTTTCAGGTTAAAAGTGAGTCTAATAACTGACTATTGGATACTAAAGTAGACTTCCCATCTATATGGACCAGCTGTAGCCTATTTTTTGTTAAAAAGAACGAAGTTGTGTGAATTAGTCACAGAATGCGCTAGCGACTAAAACTCTATTTTCTACCTTATTTTTTTGTTGCTGGCCAAGTTGATGGGTCATAACAGTTGCTATAGTCCACAATAAGTCATTCCATTAGTTTGAGTTGATAAAGAAGATTGTGTATTCGACAGAAATCAGTACCTAATTAAGATCAGCACAATTTGTCGGTGGCTCACATCAACCAACTGGGTAAAAAAAACTGGCTACAAATTTAACATGGGAATGAATGTCTAGTTTCATTAATAAGTTAGTCAAAGCTAATACTCTTAATAGTTACTTTATTAATCACTTAAAATTAACGTAAGATATAAAGTTTCTAGTGAGGAAATATCATAGGCTAAGAAATAGGTTAGGCCTAGTCATTTTACATATAGGCTAAACAAAACTTCAAACGGCCGTAGTTCCGTTAATATTTATGAGCGCAGAGAAATTTTTGCACCTTTATTTTCAGCTAAAAATTTTGTTTCTGTTGAATCTATATACCTGATAAGTTCCCATGGTCACTATTAATCACAATAAATACCGTAGCCCTAATCAGCTTTCAACACTTGAACCAACTTCACCAAGAATGAGAATGAAACTCTAAACTAATTTAAAATACCATTGCACTAAATTAATAATATCTTAATTGTAGAAGTCTTGTTTCCACTTTGGATCAAATTTTTTTTAAAAGCTTAATTTAGAGACAATAGCAACACTAACACTGCCTTACTGTCACTCTGCTCACAAGTGACCCAGCATCCCCCAAGTCCCGTGAGTTTTTATTGTAGCCTACTCTTTATTTTATGGAGGGTTTCTGAGAACCCTATTTTTACCTCATCATGCTACACTACACAATTTACATATTGGCACGATAACTAATATAGCCTACTACGTCCTACTTCAACAAGTGATAATCGTCATTGGCATTCTACAAAAATAACATTGGCTCAGCAAGTGATTTTTTAAATGTACCGTAACTAAAGTTTTTTTTATGTGTAGTGATTTGGTTAGGCCTACTAACTTAAGGCATAGAGAAAAAGAATTAAATATAGACCGTCAGCTGCACTGCGGTTACCATAGGTTCTGGCGCACACCGCTGGTAGCGCCGTAGTACAGCCTACGCGCTACGTAACTACATGGCGCTCCCAGCGGTGTGCGCCAGAACCTGTGGTAACCACTGCACGGCTGACAGTCTATATTTAATCCTTTTTGTCTATGCTTAAGGCTAATAGGCCTAGGCCTAAGTACATCACTACCCAAAATTGTTGAGACCAATAAAATCCTTCAAGTTCGTCCAAATATTTAGATTCCAAACAAACAGATAAAAACCTTATTATTTGTATTATGTATAAAGTATTTAAATACCACACTATAGTATGTTTTATTGACCATTTTTGACTTATTCCCTATCTTACTTAGTTGATCAAACTCCATAACACTTACACTCTTATGTACTTCGATTCCAATCAAATCACCTAATTAATGTATCTATTTACTATTGCTCCGTTAGTAATATACTATTCAGAAACCCTTGCACAGATTTAGTAGTAAAACAGACACTTTATTGATGCCATAATGCCCATAAAATCACCCACTTCAACGATCTAGAGATCTACGGACGTCGACGTCCCATCTCCCATCGCTTACATGTCAAATGCAGGCAGATGACAGATAGACAATTCAGGATAAAAATGAAATGACAGGTGTTCAAAAAAGGTAAATGTAGTTGGTATGCATATGAAAGAAAATTGTAAACAGTCAACAGAACAAACTCTTCTTAGGTGCATCGATTAAGTATTTAGCTAAATAGTATGATGTTAAATGTCGTATAGTCATGTATGACGGGATTTTATTTCATTAATATCCACTAATTAAACAAAAACCCGTTATATTTAGGTAATTTAATAATAATAATATTAATGGTGTTACCATATCAAGGGAATGAAGATGTTTGGACTACAGTTAGTAGACATCCCACCTATATGGACCAGGGGCCCATTGAAAAAAACATACATAGCCACATATGAAATTCAAATATATGGTAACTTTCTACCGTGTGGAGAACCCTGACGACCTGGCCATAAAATATCTTGGAATATAGCTAGACAAAAAAACTTAATTGGAACTACCACGTCAATAAAAAAACCATCCGAAGGTTATGCTCGCCTTGTAAAGCTTTTCCCTTTTATCAATAGGAAATCTACTCTTAGCTAGCATGTATACAGTTCTAATCTACAAATCAATAATCCGGCCTTTGATTACAAATGCATCTTGGGGATTAGCTGTAGCAAAAAACAAACTCTTCAAAATTCAAGTGATCCAAACAAAAATTCAAAGAATAGCTGTGAATGTTATTTGAGTGGGAGATCACAGATTACAAAGGTGGGAAATCAGCTCTCGTCGTCACTGGCAAAGACAGTCGGTGTTACCCAGGGAAGTTGTCTTGGTCCTATCTTATTTAATATGTATAGTAGGTATGGATTTCGAGATTATGTATTCTTATGCTGACGACTGCCAAATCTTCTTATCATACCAGCCTACTTTGGTTGGAGAGGCATTACAACATGTGAGTAACCTTTCAAAGGTTTGTGAATGGTCTAGGGATCATGGGTTAAAACTAAGCCCTGAATAATGTTCCACTTTGCACTTTGCCAATGCAGCAATCAATGAGCAGTTGGAAAAACACAGCATCAAAGTCACAGTTGATAATTCAGAGCTATCAACTTCCAAAAGCATTAAAGATTCTTGGGGTGACGATTGACTCACATGTGACCTTTTTTAACCATGTAAAACAGATAAGCAAGTGTTGTTGGAAAATTAAAAGTTCTTAATAGGTAGGTTAAGAACATTGCTCCCAACAAACATCAAGTTGAGGTTGGTCAAATACCTGATTTTCCCTACCTTAAATTACTGCCTACCTGTTTTTTTTATACAGTTTAACACAAGAACAGATCACTATCCTACACAGGCTACAGAATTCCTCTCCAAGGTTCGTATACGGTGCCGTGTTTCCCCCGGACGTGCTTGAGGCGGACAGTGCGTGAGGCGGACAAAACTGGTTCGGGTGGGTAATTGAGCGGACGTCTCCCTGCATCTACCCGGCTCGCGGGGAATATCCCCGTTACCGAATCGTCCGAGGAATTATCGTGTTTTGCCTCCCAGCGCCCAGTTCTTTCAACCACACCTAAACTACCTACTCTGATTTTGTAGGTTAATAGCTGAGAGACTATGTTTTATCTATAATTTCTAATAACCCAATTACAGTACCTAACACGTAGGCCTAGTCATATCTGGTTACTCCCCGTGGACGTCCAAATTTTTAATGTTAACATTTTAGAAGAGTTAGACAAATCTTTAAACTCTAAAATGCTGTGGAATCTTCAATTTAAATTTAAGACGTGAATAAGTCTATGTGTTAATTTAGGATTTGTTGATTTATATGTTCAGGATTTGGCGTTACCGTACTCATCTATAATTTATTTTTGTAAAAAAATACAAGCGACTTCAAACGCTCTAAAAAGAATGAAATAATTCCAATAAAGTAAACTTTTGTATTAGGCAAGCTCACGTATTTTAAATCGGCGCGGCTCTATGATGATTTTTGATACAAAATTGAAAGAGGGTGTCCATATTGCAGGTGACTATCTATAACTAAAGGTGTTAATCTGCATGTCTTTTTCATAGTTAATGCGTTAAGGGTTATTTTATTACCGTAATCAGAGATCGGCATTATAGTATTAACGAGTATCTTTAAAAAGATTATAACGCATTTTAAATGTTTCTAACTTGGAAAAGTAACGTTTTAATACTAAACTAGCTTCTTTTCCCTATCATAATATCAAACTAAATTATTTTCATATTCATATAGAACATTTGTGTGTGTTATTGTCATAATGCATTTATTCTGAAGTAAACATAATATACAAGAAAATATTTCCTTTAATATATAAACAAAACAGTTCAGTATGTTTTTTTTATATTATTTATGTTATCCAGCTACAATTAATTGATTTTCAAAATCACACACAATATTTAATTTCAATCATATTTGCAGTTTGAGCCGCGCCGACTTGAAATACGTGAGCTTGCCTAATACAAAAGTTTACTTTATTGGAATTATTTCATTCTTTTTAGAGCGTTTGAAGTCGGTTGTATTTTTTTACAAAAATAAATTATTTCATGATTTTTAGTGACTGTATATTTTTTTATGTATTAACAACTTGAGGTTTTTTGATAAGCAAAACTGTTTGAAACAATCAAAAGTTCCACAGAACAATCATTATTGTAAAACTGCTTGAGTCACCTGTTCAGGTATCAAATGGGTAATGCAAATAAACATTTTTAGATATTCCTTAGGAAAGAAAGAGTTGTCCATTACATTAGGCCTAATGAAAAACTAATTGTCTTTTCTAGATACATTGAAATGTCAGACATCATCGTTTCCTGCAATCGGTGTACTTCTACATTATAAAAAGAAATACAGTAACGTCTCAAGCCTTTTGGGACTATATGAAAGTTATTCCTCAGAAACCAGCACTAAAAAATCTCTCAAAAGTGGAAAATTGGTCGTTAACACGTATAGTACCTTTGGAAAATATTATATGAAAGATTGGTTCAGCTAAAAGTGGTGTAAGTCATGTAGGGTGTTTTGTTTGCTCAAGATATAGCCTAGTCGAAATTGCAAATCATCTTCCTCTAGGACTTTCCGAAGCAGGCATAATAGTATTGATATGTTATAGTAACTGGGTAGAGAATATTAATAAACATTCCACAACTGCAAATGAAATATGTATATGAAAGATTCACTTGGATAACAGTACACACAGACCACGGGCAAAACCCTGTAAAACAGTGATCATTTACATTGTTGTAATACGCTACAATTGTGTTTGTGAATAATTTATTCTTGGCTGTTTCTTTGTTTGTACTTTTTAGCGGATTTCCCATATAGGGAATAAGCTATTACCGTAGTACTCATGGTAAGACCTGGACGCGGGACCGATTTTTTTCATTTTGAGGTCCCTAGAGGCCAAAAACACCATCCGTTCAAATTCATATATATGTGTGTCCGTTAGCACGATAACTCGAGCAAAAATGATCCGATTTTGATGAAATTTGGTACAAACGTGCAAACCTACGTTTATTCGAACGAGTTCGCGATCCAGCATGATCGGACCATGGGAACGGGGGTTTACGGGGGGTTTTATGGGGTAAAAATAGGTTTTTCCCATTTTTGACCCAAAAAAACATAAAATTTAGCAATTTCTTTCCAAACCATTTTGTAGAGCTTAAAAAAACAAATAATTTAGTATATTGAAGCGTTATTATGCGCCTATATAATGGTTACGGAGAAAATTCCAAAAATTTAATTTAAAATTCCCATGTTATTCTTATGGAGAATAAGTCAATTGTTGTAGTTTGCTTGTTTATGAACATATTTCGATCAAATTTGGAAAATGTTTTTATTTCTTACTAACTATTAACATTTCTAGCAGTTTAACTAGCAAACCTATGTACTTGTTAAACTAATTCTATTTAAATAGGGAATAAATTATATATTTTTAAGTAGACATTTCTGTGTAAATCCAATCAGTCAAATGGAAATTCGCTTAGTCTGCAGGTTTGCTGCGGCGGGGGTATGTTTTTGATATCATTATTAATTTGTGATATTTTGCGAATGTTTAGTAATCTTAAGGCGTTAGTGTTGTTAGTGGTACAACATTATGGCTAAGGTACTAATTATTAACTTTTATTTTTAATTTTTAAATCGAGAATAAATGTTATATTTTTAAGTAGACATTTCAGTGTAAATCCAATCAGTCAATTGGAAATTCGCTTAGTCTGCAGGTTTGCTGCGGCGGGGGTATTATAACCTTTCACCTAAACCTTTTTATACAGAAATTGAGATAGCACGCGTTATGGCTTTCCTATCGTAATACTCGTTCCATACGATGAAACTAACCGAAACATTTACGATTCTAAGCAGTGTACAGACAAAACTCTAATTTTAGCGAATTTCCCATATAGGGACTAAGCAAAAATTCACCCTAGGTCTCATGGCAAGACACATGTAACACATGGTAAGACTAGACCCGGAACCGATTTACGTTATCGTTTTGAGGATAACTAGAGCAAAAATGATCCGATTTTGATGACATTTTGGCACAAACGTGTAAATCTACGTTTATTCGAACGAGTTTGCTAACCAGTTTTATGGGGTGAAAATTGATTTTTCCTATTTTTGACCCCAAAACACAATTTTTTTTAATTTCTCTCCAAACCATATTGTAGAGCTTATAAAATAAATAATTTTGTACTCGTATATTGAAGAGTTGTTGTATGCCCAACGGTTTGGAGATAATTTTAAAAATTGTAAATTTAACATTCCCTTGTTATTCTTATGGAGGATAAATAAACTGTTGTAGTTTGGTTGTTTATGGATATATTTTAATCAAATTTGGCAATTTTGTTTATTTCATACTAAGCTATCAACATAGTTATCAACATTTCAATAAAAATCACACCTCAATATCTTTCCCGTAGCAGCAAACCTAAGTACTCACTAAAAGTAATGGTATTTAGAAATAGGAAATAAATCTGACAATTTTGTGGGAATATTTTAGTAAAAATCGAAC